TGCCAAAATGTCTAAATAGGGCAGCAGTGTGCACTAGGACCAATATGCAGAATGGAGCAAGAGTGAGCCTTGAGATTTAAAAGAACTTTAGATGCTTAATGACCATCAGGTAACAGAGCTCATCCTATAACCGGGTAAGTGGTAAAGGATAATATGTGAAGCCTCAGGCCATTGAAGAAAACTCTGGTCCTTAACTGGTGGCAAGAAAAGGGACCGTTTATGCCTACCATTCTGTCACATCTTTAGGGATTAGTAGCCATACTATCTCACTAAACCCTTAGGACTAACCTGCAATCTTTGTTCTCTACAATGGATTTAAATATATCACTGCTTGCTCCCACCCATGCATGACATGTGACATAAGAATCTCACCTATGCAAAATAATATGAATGTTCTCTCAGCTCCAGGTACAAAGCAAGGAGTATACCTAACTTACAGTTTGTTATATCATAATGGCTAGGAGTATGGCTCTTCAGCTAGACAGTCCGAGTTTAAATCCTGCCTCCACCCCTTTCTACTTATACAACTTATTCAAGTTTCCTGTCTAGAGTTGAGAATAAATACATAGTTGGGAAGGGGAGGAGTATTAGATAATGTAGATATTCTTTCTTGATGCTAACAACAAAATGCAACAAGTGACAGCTTCTTAAGCCAGTTGCTATGTGGAATCTGAAACTGTATCAAAAGTTGTCCTACCAGGCTTCCCTGGTGGCGCAGTGGTTGAGAGTCTGCCTGCTGATGCAGGGGACACGGGTTCGTGCCCCGGTCCGGGAAGATCCCACATGCCGCAGAGCGGCTAGGCCCGTGAGCCACGGCTGCTGAGCCTGCGCATCTGGATCCTGTGCTCCGCAACGGGAGAGGCCACAACAGTGAGAGGCCCGCGTGGTGCAAAAAAAAAAAAAAAAAAGTTCTCCTACCTTCTAACACTAGAATCACTGGTCTTTCCTGTAATTAGAATGGCTATTTTACCCATCCATGATTTTGTAACATCACACATTGGTCACTGGAAAATACCATTCACTGAGTTATGCAGATCTTCAAAATGTTAACACATTTCATAATATCTAAAAAAAATCCCATGTGTTAATATTACTACCAGTGTTATCAGAAAAGTCTTTAGTATTGAGAAGATGTCAAGTCCACAATGAGGAATACAAGGTTGCCAAAATTCTAATTTTCATTTGAGAGCTACAATTTTATTATTTGCAACAAAAATGTCAGGTTCTTATGACAGGCTCTCTTTGTTCATTTTTGACAAATGTCTACCAAATACCATAGACTTAATAACTATAGTTTGTCTTAGTCTATCTGTTCAAGTACAAATGGAATTCCATGAAAAGGGTTACTTCAGCTCCCAACTGAAATAACTGCATTTCTGAAAAAAACCATCATGTTTTGATATGTGCTTTATACATAATTCTCATTTTATCACTCACGTTATTGAAGACGTGTACTCAAGATGTTGAGATATAACTTTTACAGCTTCATTATACTCAAGTGAAACTGCCATTTTTTAAAAATTCAAATAAATGGCAGTGAAGAATGCAATCAGCACTACTTGTACAGTGTGTGGCACTGCCTTGATTTATGCCAAGTGACAGCAGTTTTACCTACCATTGCTTCTGCACCATTCATGCAAATATCCAATGTTAGTTATAAGTTCTTTATACATCTTGTACTCAATTCTGTCAACTCCGTACACTGAAAATAATCTTTTCTAGTCTGTGGTCTTTTTGTTATCTTTTGAAGAGATTTTCAATTCAATTTTAATGTTCCATTTGTCTTTTTTTTTTTTTTATGGTTTGTTTTTTGTCCTAGGAAATCTTTGCCTAATCTAAGGTCACCAAAATGGTCTTCTAGAAATGTTTTAACTACTTTTGGGTCTATGACTCATTTTTAGTTACTCTTCCTGTATGCTTCTTTTTCCAAATAAATATGTCAGTACCATCTTTTGAAAAACTTGAAAATGGCTTAACTTTTATAGATGTTGTTAGATTTGGCTTGCTAATATTTTCAGGATTTTTGTTCCTATGTTCATGAGGACCACTGTCCTGTTATTTTCTTGTTTTGTAATGTCTTTGTCAAGTTCTAGTATCAGACAACACTGGCCTCATAAAATAAGTTGGAAGTATTCCCTCCCCCTCTACTTTCTGAAAAACTTTGTATAATTATGCTTGGTGTTATTTCTTCGTTGAATGGAAAAATTTATAAGAGGAACTATATGGGATTGGAGTTTTCTTTGTGGGAAGATATTTCATAATAATTTCAGTTGTATTCATAGATGTGAGGCTATTCAGGTTTTGTTCTCTTCTTGTGTCAGTTTTGGTGAGTTTTATTTTCCTAATTGTTCTATCTTGTCTTATGTTGTCAAATTTACTGGCATAAAAATGGTCATAATTTTGCATCCTTTTAAGTAAGGTAAGATCCACAGTGTCAACTCTTCCTTCATTCCTGATATTTGTGATTTGTAATTTCTCTGGTTTACTTGAATGGTCTAATTAGAGATCTACTGATTTTGTTGCTCTTTTGAGAAACAGATGTTGGTTTCATTGATTTTCTCCATTGTTCTTCTGTCTTATACATTGTTGATTTTTACACTTTATTATTTCTATTTATTTAATTTGGGTTTATTCTTATCTAGAAAAAAGATTAAGAGAACTTTAGACCACTGAATTTGTATCTTTTTAAATCTTCTAATAGAAGTTCTTAAATCTATCATTTTCTAACAATTTTTTTTTAAAATTGAAATGATACAAAGTATGATCCCTGACCATAACAAAATTAAACTAGAAATCAGTAAAATAAAGCTCCCTGGAAAATCTCCAAGTATTTGGATATTAAGAAAAACACTCCAAAAAAAATTCAATAGTCAAAATGTAAATTAGAAAATCTTTGAAGACAATATCATTGACAAATCTCCAGCAAGACTGACAAAGATAAAAAGAGAAAAGACACAAATTACCATTATCAGGAATAAAACAAGGGATATCAATTTAGAACTTGTAGACATCAGAAGGATAATGAGGAAATGCCATAACCTCTATACACTAATTTGATAGTTTAGATGAAACAATTCCTAAAAAAATACAAGTCACCCAATATGAAATAGATAATTTAAATAGCCCAATAACTATTAAAGAAACTACTCATTTTACCACCCCCCTCCCCAATCTCTAGGCCCAGATGGTTTCACAGGAAAATTCTACAAAATAAAGAATTCACACCAATTCTATACAACCCTCCAGAAAACAGAAGAGGAAACATTTCCAAATTCATTTTATAAAGCTAGTATTACCCTGAAACCAAAAAGTAGAAGAAAAAAACCAAAAAACCCTACAGAACAATGCCCCTCATGAATATTCACAAAAATCATGATCAAACTATTAGCAAACAGAATCCAGCAACAGCTAAAAAGAAATATACATCATGACCTAGTGGGGTTTTTTCCAAGGATACAAGGCTTGTTTAATATTCAAAAATTAAGCAATGTAAATTTATAACATTAACAGGTGTAAAGAAGAAGTCATCTGGTCATATCAATGCAGAAAAAGCATTTGAGAAAATTCAACACCCATCCATGACAAAATTATGATCAAACTTGGAATAGAAGGGAACTTCCTTAACTTGATAAAGAGTATCTACCAAAGGCCTAGAGCTAACATTATATCCAGTGGTGAAAGAGTGAATGCTCCTAATTTGGGGGAAAAGGCAAATATGCCAGCTCTCATCACTCTTATTTGCAAATGACATGACTGTGGGAGTATTGGCCTGTTAGATTACTCCAACATATGGAAGAGGGATTCTCAAGTCTTTGCTTTTGCATTTGCTGTTAGCATACGTGAAATACCAAAACAAAAATACAAGGAATCCTTTCTTCAAATGTTGGTGGTTCTTCCTAAAGATAATTTTCACATGTTGTGCATACTAGTCATCCAGACCTCTTTTAAATTTACTATGTACAATAAATGCAGATGTTTGAGCTGTCAGAGAGGTAGTGTATAATAGGTTCTGGAGACCAACTACTAAGATTTGTATCTTGGCTCTGCTATTCACGATCTGTATGAACACTGTGGGCAAGTTTCTTAACTTCTCTGCTCAATTCAATTTCGTCAGTTATATAGTGCTGATGACAACAGTTACTTACCTCACTGGATTATTACTAGGATTACTAGGATTAAGTGTGAAAAGGTGTGCAAATGAAAATAGTGTCTGATGTATAGAAAAAGCTCAATAAATATTAGTTACTCATATTATTGCAGATGTTTGAAACAAATGTTCCCATTCCCCTTAATGTGTTCCCTCTAATCAAAGAATAATGACATTACAAAAATTTAATGTTTGGGGATTTCCATTAGAAAGCAAACAAACAAATAGAAAATTTGTTAGCAGAGGAAACAAAATTAGTACATATGCAAAATATTCAATCCCACAAGTTACTTATAAAATGATAATTCAAATAGCAATTAAATATCATTTTATAACTAGTAAATTAGAAATATTAAAATTAACAGCCAGGTCTGACTAGGTTTTAGTCAACAGGCATACTGTATTGGTGACAGTGTGAACTGATGTAATTCTTTTTGGCAAATGATTTGCAAAACATTTGAAAAGAAATATACTTACGTCTATTGCATGTGACACTGGACTTCCTGTAACTCAGCATTTTCAGCTTTGTCTCCTTCTCCTCCCACAGTGGACAGAACTAATTCCATATTCAGTCTTTCCAATGTGCCCCCCAGTATCAGTTACCTGGGTGTTATCTGACATGCTCAGATATGATATGAGGATGAAGGATGAGAAGTATTAAACCCAGGCCAGGAAGTATGAGCATACATTAGGAAAAGGATACCACAAAGGAACTGAGACTCAAGTATTAAGAAATGTGGGGCCAAAATAACGTACCCAAGGTCAGATTAGATCGTGTCAGAACTTTCAAGATTTGGAGTTCGGAACACATGGTTCTAGGGACATATTAAGAGAGACTAAGAACCATATATAGTATTTTTACAGTGTTTATTAGCGCCATCTTTTGAAATCTTAAAGGAAATTCATGGTTTTAAGCTGGAAAGCAGAGGACACTAAGAAATATAATAATCATCAAATTTTGAGTCCTTTTGGTAGAACAGATGGATCTATTTATTTATATATATTGGCTCCTATATTCTCACTCACCAAGATTGTTATTTATTGGATTATGAAAAGGCTGACAAAAATCTTTGAAAATATTAGGAGACTTCAGATAAACTTGCAACCGAGAGCAGCATGCAACATACCTCTCTCCCAAGCTTTTATTAAAATACTCATAAAGGTTTTTAAAAAGACAAGACTGCACAGACCAATTACTAAGCATACAGAAACATGATATTCAAACATCATTAGAATGACAGAAATCTTTTAAGATCTGCTTCCCATCTGAGTCTAAATCAAGGATCTGGCATTGTCCTCAAGGAACTAACCACAAATAACTCAGTGCATGCCTAATAGCTTTCTTTGTGTTCCCTTTGTTGGTCCAGCTACTTGCTTTATAATTCTTCCTTACCTGAATGACATAATTAGCAATAGAAAACACACAAATATTACCGTAGGAATTAGCTAATTATTAAAAGCTGATTATCAGCTATATTTATCCTATAATTTAATTTCATCTGTTTCTTTGTAGTTTTGCTTTTACATACAAAATATGTATCTCTGGCTCCCTAATATATAAAAGACTTGTGTAAGAAAAAATATTTGATGACATACATAAAATCACAATCACAGTAATTGGACCACAGTTTACACTAATTCAGAACAGAGGAATTTATGCTCATTTATAAGTGATTATATAAAGGAAGAGAAAATGGGTTAGGTAACAAAATGATTAAATTTTTTATATGAAAAAATTACATGAATCCCAAGTTCTTAAAAAGTTCATGTTTAAAAAATAAGTCAAGGTGAAAGAATAAATTTGTACTTTTAACTTCCGTATGTGATCATTTGGGTCCTTTTGCCTTGGATTTGGTTTCCTTTGGAACTTTTCCATTTTGACACTGAGTAAATCTGGCTACTGTAGAAACACCATCCACAAACTTGGTTTTGAAAAGGACGTTTGCATTGTTGAACATACCTTCCTTTAGGGACACCACAATGAACTTAAGGGAGAAAGAAAAACAGCATAAAAAGTACTTTTTGCAGTATCCTTGAAGAAGTTCACTCTTTTTATACTGAGGTTAAGAATCATTTGGAGATACTTTGTTATTGCTTTAAATGCTTGGCTCCATGCATATGCACATCCTCAAATGCAAGTAACAAATAGTTATTATTAGGCACCTCAATGAATTCTTTCCATACGCAGTTTTAGGAGTCTCTTAATTTTACTTTGAGTACTTCATTACCCAAGTTACTATCTTCTGCTGGTTGGCTGCTTGTTGCTATCTTCTCCAGTTAGTATCACTGTCTTGTTGCTAGCTCTAAATGCCACTGTTAGCTGCTAAAAAAACTGCCACAATAAATACACAGTCTATGATAACTATGGTAAGTGAAGCCCCCCAGAATTGTTCAATGCATTATCTATACAATCATATTTAGTAGCCTTAGTTCCTGTAGCAACAGTTCAATAAAAACAAACTGTTTTTAGCTTCAAGGGTTTTTTAAATCACTTTCTAGGAGGAATGAAGAGTACCCCATCAAGTGCCACATGATTTTATGATATATTTTTCAGGTGTATCCTTGAAACAGTCTTGTTTTGATTGTGTATCTTCTGGCAGCTAGCTAGAGAAAATAATTACCCTAAAAAATTCCAAATTACAAAAAAATTAGATTCTCCCTCATGTTACAACCTATAATTTATAATTCCAGGCTCTTTTCTTTAATAAGAGACAAAACCCTCTTTCCTTCTATACCCATTTGAATAGAAATATATTTAAAGAGATACATAACACCTTAGTATTCCTCAATCCTGAATATCTTATTTATACTGACCATTACTAAAAAGTAGTTTTAGAAAACAAACTAGAACTATTCTGAGACTTTTTTTGGTTCTTACCTGAGAATGTGTGAAATGAGTACGTAGCATCTGTCCAATATTCTGAGTATGAGAAAGATCCAAGGCTGCATCTACCTCATCCAGGATGTAAATTGGGGCAGGTTTGAAGAGGAGCATGGACAGTATTAATGACAAAGCCACTAAAGACCTAAGAAAAGAAGGCCGAAAGAAAAGCTGTCAGAACTTGATTTTACCACTTTTTACCAAAGCACTGAAGCAAATCTGCTGTCCTGTTACTATTATGAATACTGCCAGTTTAGCTGAAAGATAGTTATAGAAAAAAGAATCTTAAGTTTCAAACTTGAAAACTTTTGTTTCATTAAAATGTTTTTTACTTTAGCTTTCCATTTTTCCCTCTCTTCAACAAGTTTTATTCTGAATAAATCAGGTATATGTTCTTCTTTCCTGTCAGATAATTAGGATGTTATATTTGGCACCTAACCTTAAGAAAAGATCATATTAGTGTTAATAGTTTTCTCTTTCTCTCCCTAAAACTCTTTTTCAGTTCTTTTCTATATCCCCTTTAACTACAGCTGTTTTTGTTCTAGTCTGGAATGAAGAAATATAACAATTCTTATATTTTTCTTAAATATTTCATTAAAAAGCCTTGTTTATTGTAATACAAATGTTTAGAATTATTTAAAAATAGTATTAAAATTACAGTAACATCTGTAGCACACTTAATTCTGTAACTTCAAATATCTCCTGACATGCAGCACTGGAGTAAATAGTCTAATGCTTACTGTATTCCAATAGGGTATTTATTAAGAAACATGTAAGTGGGGAAAAAAAATTGTGTGTGTAAGTAGAGGGGGGTCTAGGAAGGTGAAACCAAAATTTCTAGCAAAGGAAATGAATGAAACAGTACAATAAAAACCAAACAAATTGATCTTTACTGCTATAGAGGGTAGCGAGGGTAGCTGAGGTCACTCAAGAAACCTAAAATTACTTTTCAGTGTCTCTGTACCAAATATTTAAGGCACTGAGCTTAAAAACAACTCATCAACACTTAAACTACTATGCTGGATTATGGTATATCTGAAAATTAAGTTTATATCATCTTAATTATGGAAATAATTTTTAGGTTCCAGTAAGAAAATAAGCATACATTCTCTATTTTCCTCAAAAAATTTTCTAGAACTTTGGCAAAAACAATTAAAGATGCTGTGATCTAAACTGTGGAATTCAACTTTGATTGACAGGCAGCAGAAGCTGTCTTTTTTGACTTAAAATATTTTGGAATTTTATCAATAATGAAAAATAAAGAGTGGACTTCTATTCATAAAAATGACAAAAGATTTCATAAAAGAAATTAACAGGTCTTAGTATTTTCTACATCCATAAGAGAAGAGTTACAAGATGGCATAGAGCACATGAGAACAATTCAAGAACTGTGGACTGTACATCCTGTAGGGGAAAAAATACAAAATTAATAAACATCTTCAATTATATTGATATTCACAATTTTCTCTCAGGAGGTTTTAATTATTTGGCTCTCTGCAGTTAAGAAGTTAGGCCTAAATGACCTTCTAAGTTTCTCTCGATATACTGATTGTCTGAATCACTGTGTAACACAAGGCTGGGAGAAACTTCCCTGAAGCCCAGAACATGCAATTTCCAGTACTCTTCTTTCATTTATGTAGATCCAAGTTTCCATTTGGTATCATTTTCCTTTCACCAGAGAACTTCCTTTAACTTGTACAGTTCTGCTGGAATCAAATTCTTCCACCTTTTGTTTTTCTGAAAAAATATATTGCCTTCAATATGAAGAATATTTCTACTAGATACAGAATTCTAGGTTGACACATTTTTCTTTTAGCACTTTATAGATGTTGTTCCAGACTTCTGGCTTGCATAGTTTTTGTTTTGTTTTTTTTAACATCTTTATTGGAGTATAACTGCTCTACAATGGTGTGTTAGTTTCTGCTTTATAATGGCTTGCATAGTTTTTAACAAGAAGTCTAAAGTCATTCTTCTTTGTTCCTTGGCACTTAATATGCCTTTTTACCTCTGACTGCTTTTAAGATTTTTCTCCTAATCACTGGTTTTCAGCAACTTTATATGACATGCCTTGCTATGTTACTGTATGTGCAGGAAGCGAGTGTATGCGTTTATCTTACCTGGGGTTCACAGAAATCAAGTATGTGGGTTTATAGAAGTCATCAAATCTGGAAAACCTGGGTCCATTATTTTTTTTGTTTTTTTCTGTTTTACCTCTTCCTCTCCCTTTGAAACTCCAATTACATGTATGTTAGATCTCTCAATATTGTCCCACGGGTCACTGAAGCTCTTTTTGTTTTTACAGTTTCGTGTTTCTAAGCTTGACTTGAATAGATTCTATTGATATGTCTTCAAATTGAGTCATCTTTCTTTTATTCTGTCGAATCCGTTGTTAATCTTATGCAGTAAACTTTTCCTTTCAGGTATATTTTTTATCTCTAGCAGTTCCACTGGATTCTTCGTTGATAGCTTCCATGTCTCTCATCACATTCTTCTTTTCTTGTAAATAGTTAATGTAACTCTTTAACCTCCTTGTCTGCTAGTTTCATCACCTGTCATTTCTGGGTCTGTTTTTCCTCTAGGTTATGAATCATATTTTCTCAATTTCTGTCTAGAATATTTTCTCAATTTCTGTCTAGTAATTTTTATTAGATGCTGAACACTGTGATTATGTTGTTTACAGTCTCAACGTTGTTGTCTGTCTTTAAAGCATGTTGGGCCTGCAATGAACCTTTGCTAAGGGGTGTCTAAAATAGCCTTCACTTAAGGGGTAGTGCAAATGTAATGCTAATGTGTAGTAGCTCTCTGGGGCTTCCCCAAATTCTAATCTGTTTCCTTCATTTAGTAAGACTACTGGGCTTTGTGTGGGTTTCCCTCCCTGCATCTGCAGTCAAAAAATTGCTCCTAGGGAGAAAGCTAGGGTAAACAGTGGACTACAGCATTTTTGTTTCATTTCTCTCAGGTATCTCCTGGGTTATCCATTTTCCAATGTCTGAAAGTAATTGTTCCTCATGTATTTTGTCTAGTTTTCTAGTTGCTAATCCTTATTTCTACTTTGTTGCCTACTATGTTAATCAAATGTCCTAACTAAAATTTGTAGTCTCACATATTAGGCTCCTTAAATTCTACATGCAAAGATAGCAAAGCAAATCTGAAATAAAATTGGGAGGCAATGAGATGTTGGACTATAATAAAGTAAGAGGATTATTGCAAAGGGATTACTCACTCACCTCTGACCACCACTAAGTTCAGTAAGGTTTTCTTTCCAAGTATTTCCTAAGGCAACCTTAAACTCCAGACCATCCAATACATTTTGCCCTTCTGGTGGTGCAAGCATAGCATTAGCACCGGGTAAAAGAGTGGAAAAAATAGATCCAAAATCCTTGTTCACCTGGATAAAAAAATGATATTAAAATATCAGAGAAGGTTTTCCAAGAAGAATCAAATGATGTGTATATATGCAAACCAGCAGAAGCATTTTGTTGTCTGTTACCCTAGCTCTGAGGTTGGCAAGTTATGGTCCATGTGACAAATCTGGCCATGCCCGTTCATTTATGTATTGTCTATGGCTACCAGCAATATAGTCTAGTGGTTGCAACACAGACTACATGGCTCTGAAATACTTATCTGTCCCTTTACAGAAAGAGTTTACTGAGCTTTGCTCTAACTTCCAGGGGAAACTAGAGGCTATACCTCTAACTCTACCATGAAGTTTTGATACAACAAAAGGCCATGGTTGCCGGAATCCTCAGAGACACACAATTGGATAATATAGGAGATTGAACTTTCAGCTGGAGAAGAAAAACAAAAACTCTTTTTGGCATAAAGTGTTCTCTTAAAAAATTTGTTTTCTGTTGACTGGTATGGTAAGGCCTGTGGTTATCAGCTAACTTTAAGAAGCCTAAGATCAGGGTGAAGTCTAGGAGAAAAAGAGGCATGAAATCAAACCAGATCTGTTAAAGGTGTTCAGTGGTTCTTTTCTATGCTTCTTCTCAAAGCCAAAGAAGTTAAGGTATCAAGGGACAGGAACAGGATTGAGCCCCAAAAGAAAAAGGCTAAAGAAGCTATTTGGCCTATTCCCATAAAGGCTGAGCAGAAGATTACACAGAGATTTAGGACCAATATTCTAGACTGTAACTGAGTAATTTTTGTGCATACACACTTGATCAATGCCTTGAGAATCCAGCCATCTGTCTTCAAAGACATGACTAATAATCTTAGAGAGTTCAGCAGACAAAATTGAGAATGTATACATGCATGCACACATGTACACACACACGAGGATTTGACGTCCATGTTCTCTAGGGAAATCTCCACCTTCAAGTATAAAATTCAAGTGCAAATACACTTTTTATGAATATTTGTAGTAACAAGGAAATCTCCTAGACATAAACAGTCTCCTAAATATAAATTTACTAAGGAACACATATCTTAAGAACAACTGTACACATGCTAATATCCTACACAGAGAAAGTAGATTCTAGTTTTATCTGGGATAGATTTCCAGAGCTAGGCAAGGTTCATCACAATGAGGAGAGGACTGCTGTCTTTTCTAGGAGAATGACAGAAGATAGCATTGTACTTATAAACACCCTTTTCTTTTTAAAATTTTTTTGACCAGGCAGGAGAGAGGCAGCTCAAAACTAAGACTACTAAATGCTACTAAATCCCAAAGATGACCATGGATCCTGGATCCCATGTGGAAATTCCTCCAAAAGGGAAAAGACAAACTTTCAGTTAGTGGGTAGAGAAGAATACAGATAGGAAATAAACTGAATTTTGAAATTCCAATAAGGCTAAGAAGGAAACAAAAAAGCAAAAAACACAACCAGTGCCTAAAATACTCTGGCTTTGTCAATCAACTATACTTGAAGCCATAAGGAAATAATGTAATGCTGATAATAATAGTACCTACTTCATTAGGTTACTTTGAGAATTAAGTGGGAAAATTAATAGGAGAATAGTGCCTGACATATATCATAAGCACTCAATAAATTTACTTGCTTTGGGAGAACTTTAGAGACTGGGGAAAAATCAGTTTAAAAGATAAATTTGTACTCACACTAAATCCAGGAACCGTGGGGAAAACAAAAGACAGAATCTCTCAGATCTAGTGTTAAATCCACATATTGTGCAAGAATAATGGGGCCAACTTTCTGCAAGCATTTTTAAAAAGACAAATACTACAGGGAGACTGAACACTGAAAATAAGTTGTAGAGCAGGAAAAACAACGCAATTGAAAGACACAATTGTTCTGCCATTACCAAAAATAAAGTTCCTGAAGAATTAAAAAGAGAAAAAGAGGTAAGGGGCCAGTTAAATCCCCGAGGCCCAGGCCTGTTAAAGTACCAAACAGCATAGTAACTATGGAATCTTTTGAGGAGGAGTCTTTTTCTATGGTAGGTATAGGAAAACTTCACAGAAGAGGCTAGGGAATTATCCTAAAGGAGATAAATCTATGCAGCCAGGGAAGTAGAAATAATAGTAAAGAACCTTGAAATCTGCCAAAGTTGTCATAAAACGAAACAAAAATGGTAATTGGGATTCTGTTGCATATGAATCCTGGAAATGAATACTGAACTTCCTTGTTTATTACCCAGTTCTACTTCTTAAAAAGCAACAAAAGGCAATTTTAACTTTAGTTCTAATTAGGAAAAGAGAATTCCATTTTTTCTACCTTTTGATTGTTATATTAGGCTATTTCACCTTTCTAAGCTTGTTTCCTCATTTGTAAAATAGAGATAATAATTATCAAAGTTATGGAATTAAGATAATTCATGTAAAATGACAGAACTGCTCTTAACTATAATTATATAAAATTAATATTACTTTATAATTATGTAATTATTAATCTAACATGTATAAAAATCCTTTGCTAAAAATCTAAGAATGCCTAATACTTATGAATTCTGAAATGCAATTAATTTATAAGTGGTAAGGAATACACAATCTTGCTATAGAAACATTCTTAGAACTAATATTTGATCTCTATGAGTCTGGGCAAGAGAAACTGAAGAGCTAAGAACTGAAGGAGTCCTTTGGAGAGGTTTTCCAACAGTTAGAGAGAGCTTCCCCAATGTGAAACAGATAATGCTTACAGTTTTAAGCAGAGGATGCGTGGGACTATAGCAGATATTTGGAAGAAACCTTAGATACTGTCCAACATTAGAACCTACGATCTCATAAGAAGGAAAGAGGTAAACAGTAACCCAGACCCGGCAAACGATGTAAGAAGGAAACATGTAGAAATCTAGAAAATTAGAAATTTAATATAGCTTAGGAACCAGAGAAGTAGACTATGAGAGCATGATGGAATGACACAACTTGTCTTTGCAAATCAGTAGTAAAGTCCAAAAGGACAAAATGCTTTAAAAAGCCTACAAGATTTTAATTAAGGTCTGAGCTGTGCCTCAAACAAAAATTAGCTATTTCAAATTCATCTTAGAGTACAACCCTATTAACTTTATCTTTCATCCTTTCCTCATACAGAATAAATTATACAATTTTTGGTTCAAATACCTTTTGCCAAGCAATATTTAGGGCTTGGTTTTTCTTCTGGTCAAGGTCTTCTATAGTTGCAAGGATTTTGGATTTGTCATTTTCTACAATTCTCTTCTTCTTCATCAAGTCATTATACTAGTAAGATAATAAAAGGCATACTTAATTGGGAAAACACAAAATTTTCTTTATATTCTAGAATTCAGTCAAGAATAAAGAGATTTCAATTTTCTTATATGCAATATATACAACTCCTATTTACCAAAAAGATATACTACATTGAATTATAATGTAAGCCAAATTAAGGAAAGTAAATATATCATCTATATGTAAAATTCAATTACTATAACAGAATTTATAGGACAAGCTGTTGAAATATTTTGACTCCACTAGTATTCCCTTATCTTCCTAGCAGCCAAGGCAAAAGGGAAAATTTGTCATATGTAAACTCAAAAGTAGCCCTGCATGCTTAAGAAGCAAGGTCAGTCTTAGCAGTGACACAAATAAAATTTTAATTCTTCACCATGGTGTATAAAGTCCTACATAAATTGGATCTTATTTATCTCTGAATTTCTGGCATCACACTCCTCCCCAGGCTCCAGCCATATGGTCACTTTTTTTCAGTTTCGTGAACATAATAAGCTCACTGTAGCCTTATGGACCCTGCATTGTTCTTCCTCTATTTCTGACATAACAGGTGCCTCAAGTTTCCACTCAAACATCACATCTTCAAAGTAGCCTTCCCTAGTTAATGTAGAAATTTACTGAAAAAAATTCTGAGGGAGGCAACAGAGGAAGAATAAACCATGAGCAGCAGCAGAACTTTCTAAAAACCCTTTTAACTTATTTCTCCTCAAAGCCTCACATTTCAAGGAGCTTCAAATTCTCCCTGAAAAACTCCAGCCAGTCTTGCTAGTTTCCTTGCCATCCCTCTCCTTTGTGGAGAGGAGGTTTTAGGAGCTTGGCCATATTTTTATCCTATTCCTTGCTAATTCCATATAGTTTCTTATATGTGGTGACACAAAATATAACAACAAAAGGCCAGCTGCTGATCAACAATAGAGCCTTCCTCTCTGGTAAGGAGATGGGAGTTGGTAAATTCTTTTTAAAAAAATATTAGCCCCAGTTATCATTATCTAATGAAGCAAACAAGTAAAAGTAAACAAGTTTCATGATGTTAAGCAGCTCAAATTCAGACAAAATATTTCCTTTCCAAAAAGATGCCATATATTGCAAAGGTTTAATGGAGAAATGTAAACCAGCAGGATCATTTTATAGAGATCACAGCAGGTGCACTATTAGACTGTTCAGCATCTAACATAGATTCTCTGTAGACACTAATGTCAATAACAGTTTACAAAAACCTGTTACCAAAAAATTTGTTAAAAGTCATTGAGCTCGTAAGTATTTCCATTTTTAAAGAGCTCTCATTAACTCTGCTATACAAATTCAATCAGAATTTTACAGAATTAAAGAAGGTATAATATAAAATTACTCAGATTGCTATTTCCTATGGAGCCATCAAGAATAGGAACTGCTTTCTCCTTTGGGTTTTTCTAGGGACATGCAGACTATAAAAGGTAGGGGAGATGGATAACATTATCAAGTAACTGAGAGCATTAAAACAGAGAAGACACTGCTGCATTTACAGATTAGTAAAACAGTGTTTATGTATATAACAATCTTAGCCATTTACTTATGTGATGGCTCCAGCATATACTGGAGTCAAAGGAAGACAGGACTTATGGAGTGGCTGACCGTGAGGAGGCAGACAGGACACAGGTGTCCCCCACTTTTCAGAAGTTTGCTTTACACCACTACTTTTACAAGAAAAGGTAAAAAGCACAAATAGTGTTCAGCATGTGTTTTGCAGTGAGCCCTTAGAGAAGCAGCACACACCCCAAGCAGGGAGAGTGGCACCATCAAGCTCCTCACAGGGAACAACACTAAGCATCTCAGCATTAAGCCGCCAGAGCTTTGAACTGTGTCGATGAGCATCTGTGCTTTAATCTCAGTTTATTTTATGCATCTGTTAGCAAGATGTGCCCTAAGGTAATTGCTTCTTTGCTTTATATCATTTCACAGGAATAGTTTCACAGGACTGGTGCTACTTTTGGACAGTGGGGGAAACCTGTACTCTATTTTTCAAAATCTTTCAAAAAGGCAAGTGAAAGAAATGATAGAAATGTGAAGAGCTAACATGATCAAAAATGTTGTTTTTATTTACACCAAAAATAAGAAAGGAGTTGGAAAAGTCATTCAAGGTAAAACAGAATATATAACTGATGATGCAAAAAGAATGAAATAAGAAAAGAAATAACTGGAAAGGGAGAAAGGGAAAATGCAAAGAAAACAAGTTATCAAAAGCATCAAGTAAAAGATTGACTCTAATAATCGCCTCAGGGGTCATATGAAGCCATCAATGCTACTCATATTCTGAAGTGGCCAAATAGTCATAGCAAAGTGACTTACCCGCTCTTCAGCTTCTGTCAGTACATTCATAGCTCTCATATTGACATTTCTTCCTAGTTTCTCCTTCATTTCTTGCAACTTCTGAAGTCTCTGACCAGCTTCTTTTGGGTTGTTAGTTTTGAAATCATAGGTGCTATTGGGTTGCCCAAAGAGGTGTTTCTCTGCATTAATCCAGTCATAATCTTTCAACATTTTGGACACCTAGCCACATGTGATAATGATAATAGAATGATATCATTGCCTACAAACCTTTATTTAAAAGTTAGTTTCTTAAATATTTACTAATTTTAAACCAAACATTTTGGAAAAAAATCCCACAATGACACATTTGGAAAAAATGAGATTCACTGTTGGCAGTGGACCTATAATAAGTATGAATATTTTTACCTGGAGGATAGGTAAGAAACTTGAGACTATATAGAAAAAGATTTTCCTATTACTCAAGCATGAGAGTAAGAGCCAACTCAAGAGAAATAGTTACAAAGTGTGTGTGTGTGTGTGTGTGTGTGTGTGTATGCACACACATATATAGAACATCTCCATTATAATGAAATATAAGTCAGATGAGGCTCCAGATTTTACCAAATTCAATCTATTGCTTCAAAAAAACAACTTGTGAAAGTTAAAAGTCTTATAAGAATACTTAAGTCACAGATTTGGTAAAATCATGGAAGCCTAATCCTGAGTGATATCTAATAATTCTTCTAGAAATTATAATCTAAGTAAAAAACTGTCCTAAATATTGACTCTATCCCCTTGCCACCCTCTTTTGACAAGGCACAGTAAAATACTTCTTCATATAATATAACCAATTAAAGTTTTTTAATTATAGTGCTTAAGGAAGACTTTTTTCTACTAGAATTGTTCAAGGTTGGTTCTGACTGGTAGAATCTAATCCTCTTCAATCATCCTTATTAGTTCCATAGGTACAGTCTCACCACTAGAATCCAAAGTAAAATAATCATTTCTTTCCTGCTGATCTGTAAGCTCTATGAACACATTCTGTGTTCATTCTTATATCTTTAGTGCCTGGCATAGTATGCAATAAATATTTGACAAACTATGTATTTCAAAGAATCCTTGACTTTTTAGCAGTTCCACTTACAAGTCCTTCTTTCTACCCCCTTCCCTAACTGTAAATAAAATCCCCTAGCAATCACCAATACTAGCATTTTCAATTATAAAAAAACCATTAACAGTAATATTAGCATTGGTAATAATTCAGTGAATCCACTAATAGGAGGGTACTAGGAAAGCAATACTAATAAAATACTAGGATATTATGACGTGGCCATAAAAAAATGTTTTTTAAACCAAGTAATGAACCTGAACAGAGACTCATGGCTCTTTCAGAGAGGGTGGAAAACTGTTTTTTATGTTAAATCTCTTGTATTTTTATGATGTTAAAAAGATTTAAAAGGCACCAAACTGTTACACACCAGTAAGAAAACATGCTGAGTGAATTACTAAGACCATATAAATGCAATCTCTTAACCAAACAACGAATTTCTACAAAACCATGTGTTTTCTCTAAAGTACTTAAGGCACTGTGACACATGAAAGAAAGAAACTTCAAGAGTAACCAAAAAACTGTGGGATAACTTCAAAAAGATAACTGCTTGGCCAAACATCAGATTTCAAATGAGGCTGCTAAAACTGACTATAACCGATCCTCATAAGGACATCCAGAAACCATTTAAGACGTTATTTTAGAAGTTGCCTGTGTATGTTTCTCTGTGAGCTCCCTAAATTCAACTTGCAATAAGGTAAAGAATACATATTATTACTACTAACACATTAATAACTAGTTCTATGAGCAACTGGGGATAAAAACCAGTCATTTCCATAGGAGACCACTCAATATTTGGTTAAAAACATCTTGGAGATGGAATAAACTCCTGAAATTAAATTTAAAAATAAAACATTTTTGCCTCTTGGTGATTACTGAGGAGCAGTTAACATAGTTGTAAGCCTCAAAGTTATGTTACACAGTAGTTCTGCCATTTATAGTAAGGTCTTCATTGAGCAGTTTACCAGAATATTTCAACACAGAGGCAAAAATTTGATCAAGGGTAAAAACGAACAACACAAACGTGCCTTTGCAGCAGCATCTTCAGCTTCCCGTTTATGTTTGCTGATGTTGTGGTCCAGTTCCTTAATTTTAAGCTGAGATTCATTGTTTTGCTCCTTATGTTTTGCTACTTCTGCATATTTAGCTTTAACTATGCTGTCTTGGGCTGTTATCACTTCTTTTTGCTTGGTCACCTCTTCTTGAGCTTTATTTACTAACTCCTGAAACAGATCATTAGAAGACAACATATAGCAAGGTAAGGTGGAGACATTTTTAGTTTACTGAAAGATCATCTAACAGACTTCTGGGCAAGATGGCAATGTGATTACAGACAGGTAGTCATCTAACCCTCTACATTTTATATCCCCATTAAAATGACTAATGAATTTACGGATAAGTGAAAACTTGTATTACCATTAGAAAAAAAAAAAAAGGATGGGATGTACTGTTCATGCTGAAAGCAACAATGTTTCTGCAAGAGACAGTGTAACTGGGATCACCTTGGGGAGGAGGGACTACTGGAATCTGACCTGTGAGGTCTCTCAAAAAAGTGGCATTTTGGGGAGTTTACAAGATAATATGACAGACTCCCAAATGACATTTATTAGGAGGGGCAAAGAACAGGGGTGGAAGCAGGTAAGCTGGCATTTGTTCCTTTCCCTTCTATAGAAGTAAGCCATAGGGACTTTACCAGTGGCAGTAGAAAGTCAGTGTTTGGTTCTAGCAGAGGGATCAAAACGGAGATATGGAAGAGGAAGAGAAACTTTTTTGAAGAAATGGATCTGTGGCACAAAGAAAAACTTCTTGCTTTGACTTTTACTATCCCCTACCTCCTGAGGTTGAAGTTATTCAACCTCCAAAGTGATAATTACAGCTGGGATTTAGTCTATCAACTCTCACCTCCTCCCCCTCAAACCTCTTTGCTAGATCTTAAAAGTCCTTCTGGTAAAACGATATGGTCACAGACTCACACAAATGTCTGAAAACAAAAAAACCTAGCTCAACTCAGATTTAGGTAGAGGGAAAACAGATAAGTAGAACAACCTGCTAAAAGACTGAGGAAGAATAGATCTCTGTAAGTGATGAAAAGCACCAGTAAAAATTTAGGAATTTTTTAGGCATGCTCATTAGAAAACAAGATCATTTTGAGCAGTAAACAATATTTGACATTATGGTTAGGTTATGAATGTGCCATAAATGCTTTAATTTCCTTATAATGTTTTATAATGTTTAATTTGTCTCACTTAAGGTCCTTTGCAGGAGGAAGATAAATCACAGCATTCAGCTAAAAAACCCAAAACAAAAACCCATGACAAAATCGTGTTTATGAAGAAGATTCCCTCATGCCTAGAGGTTGAAGATTGCATCGCAGGTATGACTGTTTCAATCTTTACAATGGTAAGAAAAAAACAAGGAAATCTATCACTTAAGATTGAGCAAAAATAAAATTTTACTTTTGTTTGAACCTAATTAGTTAGTAGGCAATTTCTCTTCTTAGCTCCCTGAGAGTGTCCTTAGTTACTATTATCAGCAAATGGAAACAATTTAGAATGTAAAGCCTGAAAAAACAACCTTTACAAACTAAGTGATCCACTTTATAGTTTTCCATAAAGAGAAATGGATGCCCTCTTTACAGAAATATGTACATGTTTGGATTTTATCTTTATTTAGATTAAGGAAGAAGTGGCTTATTATACTTCCACATTTCTCTTTAGAAACATGACATCTAATTTTTTAAAATTCCACATGATGTCCATGAAAGATGGTAGAAAATATGGAGGAATGAGATGAAAAATGAGATTAAAAGACAAGTCAGAAGGCAGAAAAGAAACTGTAGAAAATGTAATCAGCAACACAAAACACAAAGCTGAAAAGCATTTCTACACATTTCTATCCCTTATCTTCAAAAAGAGTAAAGAATTGTTATTCTGCTATTGGTTTGATAAATAATGTGTTAAAAAAAAAAAAACCTGAATTTAACCACAAACAGAATGAAGAGGAAGGAACTACTTTCTAAAACACTGCACGCTACAATTAAAACAATCATTTCAAGGGAAAAACCACAGAAAATGTAAAAGCTGATGACAAAAGGCAAAAACACACTTTACTATAATGTAGGTAAAATGGATGGAACTCCCCTGTTAAAAGCTGTTATATTTTAGTTAACATGAAGATCAATGATATATTACTTACAAAAACAGTATCTATATAGCCACACAGCAGAAAACTTAAAAATGAAAGTTATATTGAAAAAACAAAAGTGGGTACACTTTGTACAGCATAGTGACAATATTTAATAACACTACTGTATATTTGAAAGTTGCTAAGAGTACATCTTGAAGTTCTCGTCACAAGAAAAAAAATTCTGTAATTATGTATGGTTACTAGACTTATTGTGGTGATAGTTTCACAATGTATGCAAATATTGAATCATTACGTTGTACACAGGAAACTAATATAAATGTTATGCTAATTATATCTCAGTTTTAAAAAGTAGGAGTAGAAATAATATGAAATAAAACAGAATTCAAGTTCAGAATTTAAAAAAAGGGTTAAGAGGGTATCCAGTATTCATGAGGGACAATTTCTAATATTTGTAGATAATAGAAATGTCTTCATAACATTTGAAAGCCCCTCAGTCCCAAATCCACCCTTTACTTCCTGCTTCTGAAATGGGGACATTGCTCCCTTGCCAGGTGCAACAGTATGAAGCCTCATCAGTAAAGGATGCTATAGGGTCACTGTAGAAGGAAGGGGCTTTACTTCTTGGTCCAATGTGCTTTTCTCAAAGGCAAGCTTGTCATGTGCAGGGGCTAGCAGCTTTCATGGCTTCCCCTGGCATCCCAGCATGTCCGCAGGCTGGGCACCTCCCCATGGCACCCTGGAAAGCTATTTCCCAGCAAGTGCCCCTGTGTAGCACTTTCCTATGCATGATTTCCCCTAGTACTCCACCAAACTCCACCACCAGTGGGCCACAGTTATCTTCTACAAGTAGATGTGGTTCTCAGCCCTGCAGGTAAAATGGGGCTCCTTTCCAGATTTGCTCCTTCCAAGGGTGCACTGCCTCAGCCTTATGGGTAACGCTGTTCCCTGTATCTGCTGTCCGTATAGTCTTTAGAGTTTTCTTTATCTCTTAGCAATTAATGCTGCATCATTCCAAACTCCTGTTATAGTTAACAATTTTTATTTAAACTTTGCCTGGTCAAATTACTGTGTAGTTTTTGTCTTCTGAATAGACCTGGACCAAAACAATTAGTAATATTATTTCAGGTCTCTTTCTGGATTGGTACTCATAATTTTAACTCATCATGACAGGACTGAAGAGACCATAAAGTCTCTAAAGACCTCTAAAGTCAAACATCTTCAAGCCACCATTTCAGAATTAGATTAACATTTGTAATCTCTCTAATATGGTTAGTAAATCTTACCCTATTTTTAGCCACCTCAGCTGCCATTACTGCAATCTGACCTTCATAGGATTTGATAGCTTCATTTACAGCTTCAAGCTGTTGTTCATTGGATGCATGCTCTCTCTTGAGCTCTTCTAGCTCCAGGGTGATAGCTTCAACTTCCTATAAGAAACACAGCATCTGGGCATTCAACAGGTTATTAACTACTGAAAAATAAATACATGCATGTCAACAAAATTAGTAAGATTCTCAAGCAAGTAAGACCCATAGCTTAGTTAAAAAACTACCAAAACATGTAAGCTACTTCTAAAGAAGAAAGGGGAAAGGAAATTTATTTTTCTATATTAAAAAAAAAAAGACAAATGTACATACAATTTTTAAGGGTTCAAGGAACTTTGTATAAACTATATCCTTTATCCTTTTATTCCTATAGGGATAAACAATATACAGTTCTACATAGCAGATAAATTAACAGAGGTAAAGCCTTTTTAAAACAATTATTCAGTGACAAAAATATTAGTTTCTTAATTTTCTTCTTTCCCATTATAGCCTTTAGTTCTTTAGAAAATACTGTGCAAGCTATGAAAGAATCATAAGGTGGGTTAAAAAAAACAAACAAAAACTATGAACAAAAGTCAGACTTAAGTGAAACTGTACAGAACAGTGATTGAGCACAGCCTCTGTAGACAGAAAAACGCAGGTCAAATTCCAGCCTTGGCACTATCCAAAAGATATAATCAGATATCACCAGTCTATGATCGAATAGCACGTTGTAAATATAACATGCCTGGTCTTATATCATTCTTTCACAGTGTATGTATGTTCACAAAGATGATCAAACAGAAATGTCAACAGTGAATCTCTGATACGACACAGCTCTGCGTACATGATATGAGCTTTGGTCCACTCTTGAATGAAACATTTACCAAAAGGCAACTTTGCTCTTTCTCCAAAATTAGCAAGCCAATGCAACCCCTACTCAAAATTACATAACAGTTAATTCCAGGGTTTCAGAGTAACGCATATTTTAATTTGGCTCATAAGATGTGTAATGTGTCTCCTAAAGAAGTACATCTCACTTTTGGATTTTGTGATAAATACTGATGAATAAGGCCAAGGCCAACCAACGGTGCTCTACCACCTTCAGTTCTATTCTGATGTTCAAAGATTAGTTCCATTTCAAAACAAAGTTATTACCTGTTGTTTTTCTTTCATTTTCTTGGTAGAAGCATCTGCTTTAGTTTTGGCACAATCTAGTTTTTTCTGTGCATCCTTCAGTTCTCTCTCTCTTTCAGCTTCTGCGTTTTTCATTTTATTCTCCAATACTTCATATTTTTCTTCTGCTTTTTTTTGAATTTCTTTGGTGTTTTTTAAGGTCTCCTCACTTTCCTCTGCATCATAAAGCAGGTAAATATGCCTATGTGAGGTCTTCCAACAACTATTAACAGGTATAGATATTAATGGCTTACAAATTCAACTTTTAATAGAAGAAAAGGTATGGAAAGTTGGAGCCAAGAGTTTAAAAAAAATCAACTGTTCTAACCTTATTCTAGAAATGGTATATTGAAACACAGATCATGCCTAAGAGCCACACTTGAATTATCTAATGATCTGTAAAGAAATTATTTCCAATCACATGAAATTGAGTAACATAAACTTTACCTACAACTTAACTTATAAAAAGATCACAGACCATCTTTTTTGGGCTTCCCTGGTGGCGCAGTGGTTGGGAATCTGCCTGCTAATGCAGGGGACACGGGTTCGAGCCCTGGTCTGGGAAGATCCCACATGCCGCGGAGCAACTGGGCCTGTGAGACACAACTACTGAGCCTGCGCGTCTGGAGCCTGTGCTCCGCAACAAGAGAGGGCGCGATACTGAGAGGCCTGCGCACCGTGATGAAGAGTGGCCCCCGCTTGCCACAAGTAGAGAAAGCCCTTGCACAGAAATGAAGACCCAACACAGCAAAAATAAATAAAATAAACTCCTACCCCCAACATCTAAAAAAAAATATATATATATCACAGACCATCTTTTTATATGATTGTATGCTTCCTAACATCAGAACTGAGTGTGTAACTATGGTATTTTCTTTTTATTTTAGTTATAAGAAAGCTTACAATTTACTTCATAAGCAAGCTTACTTAGTGTTCCTTCCTCCTTTATTTTAATTAAAGGAATCTTTTATTAAAGTAGAGAAGCACTGTGAGAACATATCTAGGATGAAGCATAGGAAACATATTACCTCTAAATTTATAAATTTAAAAATAAAAAAGTAAGATAGAATGAGCATGTGATGGTCACAACTGACATACACTGTTAAGCATTAGGACCTAGGTACAAATATAACCCTAGAAGCCATGAATAGACAATTTCCTATACTACTTTTCACTGTAGAGATGTCATTCCAAGAAATCAAAAGAGAAATAAAAAAATACTTTGTCACAAATGAAAATGGAAATACAACATACCAAAACTTACATCATATGTAGCAAAATCAGTTCTAGCTATGAGTGAAGTTCATAGCAAAGTTCATAGCAATAAATGCCTACCTCAAGAAACAAGAAAAATCTCAAACAGCTTTACACCAAAAATCTGTTGTGTTTCTATACACTAAATAATCCCATTTACAGCTGCATCAAAAAGAAGAACAAACAAAGCCCAAAGTTAGTAGAAGGAAGAAAATAACAAAGATCAGTGTGGAAATAAATGAAATTGAGACTAAAAAGAAATAGAAAAAATAATGAAACTAAGAGCTGGTTCTTCAAAACTGCCAAACTTTTAGCTAGACCTAAGGAAAAAAAGAGACTCAAAAGTCAGAAATAAAAGATGAGATGTTACAACTGATACCACAGAAATATAAAGAATCATAAAAGGTTACTATGAACAATTTTACACCAACAAGCCAGACAACCTAGAAAAAATAAATTACTAGAAAAGACAACCTATCAAGAATCATGATGAAACAAAATCTGAAAAGAGATTATTAGGAGATTTAGTAAGTAATCAAAAACCTCCCAACAAACAAAAGTCCAGCACTAGACAGCTTTACTGGTGAATTCTAACAAACATTCAAAGAAGAATTAATACCAATCCTTCCTTCTCAAATTCTTGCAAAAAGAAGACAAGGAAGAAATTATTCCAAACTCATTTTGTGAGGCCAGCATCATCCTGATATCAAAACCAGACAAGGGGGCTTCCCTGGTGGCACAGTGGTTGAGAGTCCACCTGCCAATGCAGGGGACACGGGTTTGTGCCCCGGTCCAGAAAGATCCCACATGCCGCGGAGCGGCTGGGCCTGTGAGCCATGGCCACTGAGCCTGTGCGTCTGGAGCCTGTGCTCCGCAATGGGAGAGGCCGCAACAGTGAGAGGCCCGCATACCGCAAAAAAAAAAAAAAAAAAAAAACAAGACAAGGACGCCACAAGAAAAGAAAATTACAGGCTATTATTCCTGATGAACACAAATGCAAAAATTCTCAACAAACTTTTAGCAAACTGAATTCAACAATACATTAAAAGGATCATACACCATGACCAAGTAGGATTTATTCCAGGGATACAAGTACGGTTCAACATCTGCAAATCAGTCAATGTGACACATAATACTAACAAATGAAGGATAAAGTCATGGTCACCTGAATAGCAGAAAAAGCATCTGAGAAAATTCAACATCTGTTTATGATAAAAACTCACAATAAAGTGAGTACAGAGAGAACATACCTTAACATGATAAAGGCTATACATGACAAGCTCACAGCTAACATCACACTCAATGGTAAAAAGCTGAAGGCTTTTCCTCTAAGATCAGGAAGAAGATAAGGATCCTTGCCTACTCTCCACTTTCATTTGACATAGTGTTGGAAGTCCTATAGCAATTGGGAAAGAAAAAAAATGCATCTAAACTGGAAAGGAAGAAGTAAAACTGTCACTATTTGCAGATGACATATTATAAATAGAAAACCCTAAAGACTCCATCAAAAAACTGTTAGAAATAATAAGCAAATCAATATATAAAAAAATCTGTTGTGTTTCTATACAATCCCATTTACATCAAAAAGAAAATACCTAAAAATAAATTTAACTAAGGAGGTGAAGGACATGTACACTGAAAACTAGGAAACACTGATGAAAGAAATTGAAGAAGACAGAAATAAATGGAAAGATATTCTGTGCTCGTGGATTGGAAGAATATTGTTAAAATGTCCATACTACCCAAAGCAATCTACAGATTCAAGTCAATTTCAGTCAAAATTTCAATGGCATTTTCCACAGAAATAGAATAAACAATCCTAAAATTTGTATGGAACCACAAAAGACCCTAAACAGCCAAAGCAATCTTGAAAAAGAACAACAAAGCTGGAGGAATCATACTCCCTGTTTTCAAACTTTATTACAAAGCTAGAGTAATCAAAACAGTATAGTATTGATATTAAAAACAGACAGATCAATGGAACTATTGAATAGAGAACCCAAAAATAAACCAACACATACATGGTCGATTAATTTATGACAGAGGAGTCAAGAATATACAATGGGGAAAAGACAGTCTCTTTTATAAATGGTGGAAGGAAACTGGACTTGCAAAAGAATGAAACTGGACCACTAAGACCATACATAAAAATTAACTCAAAATGGATTAAAGACTTGAACATAAGACCTGAAACCATGAAACTCCTAAAAGAAAACACAGGTGGTAAGCTCTTTGACATAGGTTTTGATGATTTTTTGGATTTGACACCAAAAGCAAAAATGAACAAGTGGGACTACATATCAAACTAAAAAGCTTCTGCACAGCAAAGGAAACCATCAACAAAATTAAAAGGCAAACTACTGAATAGGAGAAAATATTTGTAAATTATATATCTGATAAGGGGTTAATATCTAAAATATATTAACTCATACAACTCAATAGAAAAAACAACCAAATCCAAAAATAGGCAGAGGACCTGAATACACATTTTCCACAGAAGACATACAGACGGCCAACAGGTACATGAAAAGATAGATGTTCAACACTAATCACCAGGGAAATGCTAATCAAAACCACAGTGAGATATCACTTTGACCATTAGAATGGCTATTATCAAAAAGACAAGAAGGGTGTGGTTGAGAGTCCGCCTGCTGATGCAGGGAACACGGGTTCGTGCCCCAGTCCGGGAAGATCCCACATGCCACGGAGCGGCTGGGCCCATGAGCCATGGCTGCTGAGCCTGCGCGCCCGGAGCCTGCGCTCCGCAACAGGAGAGGCCACAACAGTGCAAGGCCCACGTACCGCAAAAAAAAAAAAAAAAAGGGCAAATTAATAGAAAATTATTAAAATATTTAAATTGAAAAATATTTTCTAAAATTAAAATATTTAAAGTAATTAATGCAGATAAATATATAATAAACACAAAAGCTGCTAAATACCTAAAGTAAGGTTATCAGTAGAAACAGATTAGAACAGAATGTTTTTGTCTTACCAATGATTTTTTTAAGAGCATCTAATTCTTCCTGTTGCTTGTGATATGAGCTTTGCTGAAGCTTGGTTTGTAGTAAATCTGCCTCCTCAGTTTTCATCTCCCACTGCTGTTTTAGTTGGCGATACCTTAAGAAAGAGAAGTTTATAATAAATGACAACAGTTTTTCTGATGTTAGAGACATGCTTTTAAGTAACAGGCTCTTACCCAAAACAAACTCATACAACATAATATAAGATGCCACTGGTTAGAAGACTCGTTTTGATAACTTCCGCATTTCTGAGGCATCAATTAAACTCAAGTTTGACTTGGTTACTGAAGGTAAACAACCCTAAATGACCAAGACCAATAGTAACTATCCAGGGAAATATTCTTAATTTTAGAAAATACTAATAATCTTTGAATAAATAGGTTTCCTTAAAAATAACTCCTCCCACTGATCCTTATCAAAAAGAAAAACTCCATAACAGCTCCCCATCACAAAAATAGAATATATAACAATTATATAAAATTTCAAAAATTTTATCTATTAATCCCTAGTTTCAAATGTTAAAAAAATGTTCCCTACATTTTGTAAGGAGACTGGTAGTTTAAAATGGCACAGTACTGAACTTAAACATTTGCAAAGCACTTTTTTTGCAAACCCTGTAATTCTCCCCCAGTTCTGGATGCTTCAAGTTATTTCTTTGGAAGGTATTTTGCTAATTCAGCTGCAGTGAAATTTTAAATTACAGTAAATTCAAAGGTTGCTTGTCACTAGAAATTCATGAGGTTTGAGGAAAAAGTAAGGAAGCAACTTATAAAACATAAATACTCCCTTGAGTATTCTTGTCTGAGACTGCTTGACAGCATAATTTTAACTTGAGTCATTTTCCAACTCATTTAAAAATGTAAAGTGTAGAAATGTGCAAAAAAGATATAAGCTATTTTCCTGATATGATCTATGAAAGAATGGCTTTAGTTGACCCTTCCACTCTCATTTTTCAAAATCTACTTCTCTTCCTTAACCTCTGGGCCACAATTAGTCTACAACACAACTCTGCAGAATAATGATCCAGTATTGCTCAACAAAGTTAACAGTTCCAAGCCAAATGTGACCACATACTCATTGCCTTGACAGAGCTTCCATATATCAGAGAAATCTTTTTGTATCTTTCTCACAGAAAAAGTTCATTCACTTTATGGTTAATGTATGTTAATGAAGGTAAAAGGCAGGCTTTACATGTATATAATGTTTGAAAGTGGGCATTTTGATACAATTTACATCTTCGAATGGCCACTTTTGACTTACTGTAGCAATCTTTTCCATATAATACTGTGTCCCAAAGAAGTCTTGGTACCATTCTAAGTTTTGATGATTTCAGAAGATGAATGCCAAAAGTTTACCAAAAAAAAAAAAAAAAAATCACTTCAAGTGTTTTAAAATTATTTATTTTTGGCTGTGTTGGGTCTTCATTGCTGCACATGGGTTTTCTCTAGTTGAGACGAGCGGGGGCTACTCTTCATTGCAGTACATGGGCTTCTCATTGCGGTGGCTTCTCTTGTCACGGAGCATGGGCTCTAGGTGCGTAGGCTTCAGTAGTTGTGGCTCCGGGGCTCTAAAGCACAGGCTCAGTAGTTGTGGCGCACTGGCTTAGTTGCTCTGCGGCATGCGGGATCTTCCCAGACCAGGGCTCGAACCAGGAAAGTCTCTCATTTCAAGGTTTTTATCTCTCTCTCTCTTTTTTAAAGCTTTATTCAGTATTGTGAATTCTAAATAAAATGTTTCTTTTTTTTTTTTTTTGCGGTACGCAGGCCTCTCACTGTTGTGGCCTCTCCTGTTGCAGAGCACAGGCTCCAGACGTGCAGGCTCAGAGGCCATGGCTCACGGGCCCAGCTGCTCTGCGGCATGTGGGATCTTCCCAGACCGGGGCACGAACCTGTGTCCCCTGCATCGGCAGGCAGACTCTCAACCACTGCACCACCAGGGAAGCCCTGATTTTATCTCAGTTCCCATTTGCCATCTTCAGAGTGACTAGAAAAAAATTACAATTAAGCTCTCAAATACTGTACTTAGTAAGTTTGTGGCATTTATACTCCTGAAGCTTTTACAGCAAGTAAGGACTGTTCTCCTGGATAACCACACGGCGAGTTCACTCACATCATTCCGGTATTTATTCAAGTCTTCTCAGTAAGGCTTTCCCTGCCCACCCCATATAAAATTTCAACACCTCTTTCTTTGCCCTGGAAAGTTCATATCTCCTTTACTATTTTACTTTTTTCTTCTTAGAACTTAGCATTATCTAACATACATTTTACCAGTTTACCTTTTTATATTATATTGTCTGTTGCCCAGCTACACATATCAAAACAAGATGAAGAGGTTTATATGTTTGACTCCCTGCTATATTCCCAGCTCCTCGAAGAGTACTTGGCATGAGGCACACAACAGTAAATAACGTTAAGTGTCAAAAAAAGGTTGCATTAAATAGCATAGTACCAATTTTGAAAAAAAAAAATGGCATACACATATTGTGTCATACACAAAATATGTATCATACACAAGCAGAAGTAATGCTGAAAAGTACACATACATACCTATATCCACACCCACACAGAAAATACACTGTAAGTAAGCACTTTAATTCTAGCAGTGACTTTTGACATGAACTTGTTTAACTTCTCCATAGGAAACTTAGCGATCTTCAACATCTACAGGACAGCCATAATGCTGCAAAACTTAGTGCAGACACCCGATAGATGCTATAATATTACATTATTTCAAATCAAGGACTCAAGTATCCTCTGGCATCAACCTCTAGAGTATCTATGGATTTCCTCACTAATCCCAGCAGAATGTTAACAGAGCGTATCTCAGCAGAAAAAGGGGAATATTTGGCTGATTTTTCTTTCCTTCTTTTAATTAGCTTTCCCCAATTTCTTAAAACAAAGACACTATTTATGTTAAAATAAACTGATAAGTTAACAACTCACAACTTATTCAATAATACCAAGGTTATTATTAAAAAAGTCAGAAGTATTTCTTTTATGTTTTGTTTTGGTTTTGTTTTTGCGGTACGTGGGCCTCTCACTGTTGTGGCCTCTCCTGTTGCGGAGCACAGGCTCCAGAGGCGCAGGCTCAGCGGCCATGGCTCACGGGCCTAGCCACTCCGCGGCAAGTGGGATCTTCCCGGACCGGGGCATGAACCCATGTCCCCTGCATCAGCAGGCGGACTCTCAACCACTGCGCCACCAGGGAAGCCCAGAAGTATTTCTTTAAATAAAATTTTCTTTCATCTTCTACCATGCAAATCTTTGACCAAGAAAATTTTTAAATACAGCTTAATCCAATCAAAGTCTTACTTTTCAGCAGTGTTTTTAAGACCTGCTAATTCCTCTTCTAGAGCCCGTAGCTCATTCTCCTTGATTCTCAGCTCATCTTGAACATCTTTGAGTTCTTGAAACTTGGTTAAAATAGAAGCTGCCTGGGATCGAGCACCTGACAGAGGCAAATTGAAACAGGCCTTTGACACCAAGTTACCACGTATTTAGTAAGCAATAAAAACTTTTCTGAGAGAATTATACTTGAAATAATTCAACAGCCATTCTTTAGTAAGTTTATGAAGCTACAGAATTCACTTCATCATTTGAATCTTAGGGCATACATACTTGATAACAAATACTTCTAAGTAGATGTGGTGGATTATTTATTCAAAATAATCATTGCCCTTGCCTACTGGGCCCATCCCTCCCAGGTCCATTTCCCTCTCTACTGTCATCAGGCTTAGCCATGTGCTTTGCTCTAGCCAACAAGGGAAATGTACCTCTTCTGAAAGGAAGCTTTAAGAGGCAGCACATAATTTACCATGTTTTCCCCTTCCCTTCCCATGAGAAAAGTATGTTCACAAAAGGGACTTACTTCTCGGTCAGCCTGGGTCCCATAATGAGAATAACATGGAGCAGAGGCAAGTGACCCACAGTTAATGTAGCATAATTATGGAATAAACTTGTAAGCTACTGAGATTTGGGAGCTGTTTATTACCACATCATAATGTGGTCTAAACTCGATGTAGCAGCGTAAACTGGTTTCACCTTACGTGCACTATAACTGTCTGGCAGTAACAGGCTGAGGTGTTAGGTTGGCAAGAAGACTCCAGGTTTGATGGGAGGATGCAAAGGTCAATTAGCAATGCTATTGTGAGCACTTTGTTTATATGATATGGGGTTACATATTTGCCATCTCTTAAGCAGGAATTTTAAGAACCTCTAATTCAATGAAATCTAAAATGTTCCTTCTATTTTAGATATTTAAAAATATTTGGTCTCTATCTTCCAATTGCAGATGCTAGTCATCTTGTACACTGGGGAACTTGCTACTATATCATGGAATTCATTATATTGGCTGTTTTCTTGGCCTAGAAAGAAATTAAGACACTTGATATCTCAAGAGGCATCCAAGTCTCTTGGTTTGGTTAAAAGCACAAACTCTGTAATCAGACCACCTGAGTTCAAATTCTGAGCTCTGCCACTTACCAGCAAGTTACTTAATCACTCTATACCTTAGTTTCTACAACTCTATAATGGAGATGATAGTAATGTCTACCTTACGGTTGCTATAAGGATTAAATAAGCTAATCATTTAAAGTCCTTAGAATAGGGCTTTATAGAATGATAGAAATGTTCTATATTTGCACTGTCCAATTACCCACTAACCACTTGTGGTTACTGAGCCCTTGAAATATGACTAGTGCAATTAAGGAAATTATTTTAATTTTATTTAATTTTAATTATCTTATTTTGGTGTAAAGAGCCACATGTGGCTAGTAGCTACTGTATTGGACAGTACAGTCTTACAACACTGCCCAGTACACAATAAGTACTATTTAGTGTTTGTTATTTATTACACGGTCACTTGACATGGATCTGGAAACTCAGTATTGCAAATATTAGAACAAGAAATATATGGTCATTATCTCAGAATTCCTTACTTAAGGCATTCAGGCAGATTTAATTTTTTGTTTTACTTTTGACAGGAGCAGTAACATATACACAAATTAGAAGTTAACATGTTTCCTAAAGGAGAAGTGGGTTAGTTAAGCTACAAATGTACTGACTAAAAATACTTCATATCCTAGTGACAAGAATATCTTAATAAGACAAAAAGCAAGAGAAAATAAATGGGAATAGACATAAGATGAATAAGAAAAGCTATAGGACTGATTACTAGCCTATGAGTTCCTTCAGGACAATGACAGTGTATAATTTCTCAATTAATATTAAGCACCTGTCACAAAGTAGGTATTCAAAAGAAAACTCAATCTTTTGATTAGGAATAAAACACTGGATTAACTCATTCCAAGCCCAATATTTCCTGTTTAAAAAAAAAAAGCCCCCATCCTATCTACCACGCAGAATTGTGAGGACAAAATGATATAAAACCTACCTCCACTCAACGTCCCGTGAGGATCAAATACATCACCTCCTAGAGTTACGGTTCTAGTCATTATCCTTTTATCGAAAGCTACCTTTTTTGCATTATCCATATTGTCACAAACAAATGTTGTTCCAAAGACAAATTCCATTGCTTTCTGAAGTTCTGGTTTGTATTCAACCAGGGAAAGAGCCACATGAACATTATTAGGGCCAACCTGGGGGAAAACAGTTATGTCGGGATACATATTACTCCTTTCCTTTCAAATATTATTTTATAAAATAGTAAGAACTGCCACAACAGAAACTGAATACCTATCCAGCACTACAACTCCTTTTGAACTTTCTAAAATGCTATAGAAAACACTTTTAGAAAAAAACAATTCCAAGTTTAAACACTGAAAAATCTAAGTAAAACATTTAGCTAGAATACCAGTCATTATGAGAGTTTCGATCAAGCAGAAGCCACTACCAAGTTTCTAAATTCAAAGTGGATTATTTGAACACACTTTTTTTTTAACATCTTTATTGGAGTATAATTGCTTTACAATGGTGTTAGTTTCTGCTTTATAACAAAGTGAATCAGTTATACATATACATATGTCCCCATATCTCTTCCCTCTTGTGTCTCCCTCCCTCCCACCCTCCCTATCCCACCCCTCCATTGAACATCCTTTCTTAATTAAAGTACATCAATTTCTGGATCAACACAATTACATAAAATGTTTTGCTTCAATTATTAACTTGGTTGTTCCAAAGTGAATACTTTTTCATTCAAATAAAACATGCTAAGGCAACCACCTGCCAGTTACAGAAATAAAAACAATGGAGTAAAAAAAATCTTTTTAAAATCCTTCAATCTTTTATTTTGATCCAACTGTCTTTTCAACCTTTGTTTATAATGTCTACCTCTGCTCACATTTTTAGAACAACTTAGCATACTTTATGGAGCTTAGTAGTAGCAGAAATCATAATGAAGGCAGCTCTATGTAACATATGTTCAGCAGTGTCCTCTGACATAGCAGTTACCATTAAATGGGTCTGGCTGAGGGATCTGGGTAGAAGTGCTTTTGTTGTTACTTAAAACCCCAATTGACTTCTAACACTGGAACTTGACATAGGACTAAAATAACTTCCAAAACCTTCTAGACTCTAAGGTGATTTTTCTAAGTAAAGGATGTAAATACTAACCAAAAATACCACCTTTCAATTACTCTGTACTCATCTTTCTTCTGATAGTAAACAGTTTTCATTGAAGGCGTCTCAATTTCAAGAAATATACTATCCATTTAGTATCTTAATTATACATGCATTTTCAGGTTTCATAGAATTTTCTTTTCAACTCATGCACTTGGAATGCCTGCTCAATAACTGATATCGCTGCTGAATGTTATGATTGGCTTCATGTTTGTACCAAATATTATGCAACCACAACAGCCTTTTAAATGTATTTCCTTGTACTCATCTGTTTACTAGTAACCACACCACTTCAGATCTATCTCAGCAGCTGACTGCATATACTGGTTACCTGCTTTGTATGTTCATAGGTTGGTAAGCAATCTAGAAAAGCTCTAAGAGAAGCATCTCTGCAAGACGGATGGATACCTTCCATAACAGTTGTCACTGTAGTCAGTTTAAGTGTGCCTGGCATGAAAAAACCTGAAGAATTCTTGTATTTATCTATAAGCTCTATAATTCTATTTGGAAATCAAAACTTTAACATTTAATGCCACCTGATAGTCATGTGACTTAGGTTTAAAGACATTCTAGAAGATGGCAGAGTAGGGTGACGTGGAACACACCTCCCCACAAATAGATCAAGAATACATCTACAAATGGAACAATTCTCACAGAGCACCTTCTGAATACTAGCAGAGGACCTCAGACACCTGAAAGGACAAGAAAGATCCCCATGTAACCAGGTAGGATGAAAGAAATAAAAAAGAAAAGAGGAAGTGGGATGGGACATGTACCCCTTGGAGGGGAGCTGAAGGAGAGGAGAGGTTCCCACACCTGGGGAGATATCCTCACCAGTGGGGAGATCAGATGGGACAGGAGGGGAGCTTCGAGGGCTCAGAGGGAAGTACAGCAACCAGTCTGTGACAGGCAGGACAGAGTGAGATCTACACGGACGGTCTGTGCCACAGTCGTGCGCGCCCCAGCCTGAGACACGTGTGGTGGTACGGACAGGGGCTAGGCGCTGGAATGTGGGGTTTGGAGAGCTGACCTGGGGAGAGGACCACTTTTGTCTGCATGGAGTCAGCCTGAAGGGATAGGAGCAACCAGGAATGTTCGTGGAAGAAGCCCCAGCTACCACAGAAGCAAAGCACTGTTGTTGAGCGGTGTGCGAAGGACACAGCCGCCACTGCAGCCTCTTTCCCCACGCACTGGCACCTGCCGCTGCAGGCACTACGAGGGGCTCCCGCCTGGGCAGCCCACACATCCTGACCACTGCCCTGGCCCCCTCCCACCTGGGCGGGCCCGAGCACCTTGACCGCCACCCTGGCCCCCTCTTGCCTGAGTAGCCTCACAAGCACCAGTCACCACTCTGGCCCCCTCCTGCCTGGGCAGGCTCATGTGCTCAGGGCAGCCTCAGGAGCAGAGGCTGGTAGATCTGAGCCCCAGGGGCCGTGTGACTAAGGAAGAAGAGCTGACGTCTCTCCTTGCAGCTTTGTCAACCATGGATTTACACCTCTGCTGCCGGCTTTGTAAATTTACCACCTACAGAATATCCAAACAGACAACGAGTGCTCCTGCAGCTGAGACAGGTCTGCCTTTAGCAGCTGTGGGTTTTGTGCGAGTTGAACCAGGCCAGGGTCTGAGCTGCCTCCATAGGTCCCACAGCAACTCCATGTGCATGACTGCTGCAGTCCTGGCACCTGACTTCAGTAGATGTGCATTGGTGGCCTGGTGAAAACAATGCTTTAGAGACACCGGGGCCAACTGCCAGCATACCCACAGTTAAGAGGGGACGAGAGCAGGGCCAACAACAGTGTACTTTGTGAGCCAGCACAATGGGTGGAAGGTGACACAATAGAGCACAATCACAGATGAACAACTCCAGAGGAGGAATACTCAGTGGTTTCTCTCCCAGTGGGAGAGAAATCCTGCCTACCTCACACCGCAGGTCAGAAACACAGCTCAGAAACGGATCTGGGGGCTTCTACTCCAACAGCTAGGAAGCAGACCCTGCCCCTGACGGCACTGACAACCACAGAGGAAAGTGGAGGCCCTGCTCAATATCCAGTGCAGGCTCTGGTCACCACAACACTGGCCACTGCCACCGAATGAAGAAAAAAGAATGAGAAAAAATGAGGACAGTCTCAGAGACCTCTGGGACAACATTAAATGCAACAGCATTCACATTATAGGGGTCCCAGAAGGAGAAAAGAGAGAAAGGGTCTGAGAAAACATTTAAAGAGATGTAGCCGAAAACTTCGCTAAAAGGAGAAAGGAAACACTCACTCAACTACAGGAAGCAAGGAGAATCAAATACAGGATGAACCAAAGACACCAAGACACATGTTAACCAAACTGACAAAAATTAAATACAAAGAAAAACATTAAAAGTAAAAAGGGAAAAGCAACAAATAACATAGAAGGGAACCCCCATAAGGTTATCAGCTGAATTTTCGCAGAAATTCTGCAGGCCAGAGGGAGTGGCATGATATATTCAAAGTGATGAGAGGGAAAAACCTACAACCAAGAATACTCTACCCAGCAGGGCTCTCATTCAGATTCAACAGAGATCAAAAGCTTTATAGACTTTCTGCAGGGTTTTTATCATAAATGGGTGTTGAATTGTGTCAAAGTTTTCTCTGCATCTATTGAGATGATCATATGGTTTTTCTCCCTCAATTTGTTAATATGGTGTATCACGTTGATTGATTTGCGTATATTGAAGAATCCTTGCATTCCTGGAATAAAACCTACTTGATTATGGTGTATGATCCTTTTAATGTGCTGTTGGATTCTGTTTGTTAGTATTTTGTTGAGGATTTTTGCATCTATGTTCATCATTGATATTAGCCTGTAGTTTCCTTTCTTTGTGACATCCTTGTCTGGTTTTGGTATCAGGGTGATAGTGGCCTCGTAGGCATACAGGGAACTTTCCTCAACATAATAAAGGCCATATATGACAAACCCACAGCCAACATCATCCTCAATGGTGAAAAACTGAAACCATTCCAATAAGATCAGGAACAAGACAAGGTTGCCCACTCTCACCACTATTATTCAACATAGTTTTGGAAGTTTTAGCCACAGCAATCAGAGAAGAAAAGGAAATAAAAGGAATCCAAATCAGAAAAGAAGAAGTAAAGCTGTCACTGTTTGCAGATGACATGATACTATACATAGAGAATCCTAAAGATGCTACCAGAAAAGTACTAGAGCTAATCAATGAATTTGGTAAAGTAGCAGGATACAAAGTTAATGCACAGAAATCTCTGGCATTCCTATACACTAATGATGAAAAATCTGAAAGTGAAATTAAGAAAACACTCCCATTTACCACTGCAACAAAAAGAATAAAATATCTAGGAGTAAACCTACCTAAGGAGACAAAAGACCTATACGCAGAAAATTATAAGACACTGATGAAAGAAATTAAAGATGATACAAATAGATGGAGAGATATACCATGTTCTTGGATTGGAAGAATCAACATTGTGAAAATGACTCTACTACCCAAAGCAATCTACAGATTCAACGCAATCCCTATCAAACTACCAATGGCATTTTTCACAGAACTAGAACAAAAAATTTCACAATTTGTATGGAAATACAAAAGACCCCGAATAGCCAAAGCAATCTTGAGAACGAAAAAAGGAGCTGGAGGAATCAGGCTCCCTGACTTCAGACTATACTACAAAGCTACAGTAATCAAGACAGTACGGTACTGGCACAAAAACAGAAATGTAGATCAATGGAACAGGATAGAAAGCCCAGAGATAAACCCATGCACATATGGTCACCTTATCTTTGATAAAGGAGGCAGGAATGTACAGTGGAGAAAGAAAAGCCTCTTCAATAAATGGTGCTGGGAAAACTGGACAGGTACAAGTAAAAGTATGAGATTAGAACACTCCCTAACACCATAAACAAAACTAAGCTCAAAATGGATTAAAGCCCTAAATGTAAGGCCAGAAACTATCAAACTCTTAGAGGAAAACATAGGTAGAACACTCTATGACATAAATCACAGCAAGATCCTTTTTGACCCACCTCCTAGAGAAATGGAAATAAAAACAAAAATAAACAAATGGGACCTAATGAAACTTAAAAGCTTTTGCACAGCAAAGGAAACCATAGGGCTTCCCTGGTGGCGCAGTGGTTGAGAGTCCGCCTGCCAATGCAGGAGACACGGGTTCATGCCCCGGTCTGGGAAGATCCCACATGCCGTGGAGCTGGTGGGCCCATGAGCCATGGCTGCTGAGCCTGCGTGCCCGGGGCCTGTGCTCCACAACAGGAGAGGCCACAACAGTGAGAGGCCCGCGTACGGCAAAAAAAAAAAAAAAAAAAAAAAAAAGGAAACCATAAACAAAACCAAAAGACAACCCTCAGAATGGGAGAAAATATTTGCAAACGAAGAACTGACAAAGGATTAATCTCCAAAATTTACAAGCAGCTCATACAGCTCAATAACAAAAAAACAAACAACCCAATCCAAAAATGGGCAGAAGACCTAAATAGTCATTTCTCCAAAGAAGATATACAGATTGCCAACAAACACATGAAAGAATGCTCAACATCATTAATCATTAGAGAAATGCAAATCAAAACTATAATGAGATATCATCTCACACCAGTCAGAATGGCCATCATCAAAAAATCTATAAACAATAAATGCTGGAGAGGGTGTGGAGAAAAGGGAATGCTCTTGCACTGCTGGTGGGAATGTGAATTGGTACAGCCACTATGGAGAACAGTATGGAGGTTCCTTAAAAAACTACAAATAGAGCTACCATATGACCCAGGAATCCCACTACTGGGCATATACCCTGAGAAAACCATAATTTAAAAAGAGTCATGTACCAAAATGTTCATTGCAGCTCTATTTACAATAGCCAGGAGATGGAAGCAAACTAAGTGTCCATCATCGGATGAATGGATAAAGAAGATGAGGCACATATATACAATGGAATATTACTCAGCCATAAAAAGAAACAAAATTGAGTTATTTGTAGTGAGGTGGATGGACCTAGAGTTTGTCATACAGAGTGAAGTAAGTCAGAAAGAGAAAGACAAATACCATATGCTAACACATATATATGGAATCTAAGAAAAAAAAAATGTCGTGAAGAACCTAAGGGTAAGACAGGAATAAAGACACAGACCTACTAGAGAATGGACTTGAGGATATGGGGAGGGGGAAGGGTAAGCTGTGACAAAGTGAGAGAGTGGCATGGACATATATACACTACCAAACGTAGAATAGATAGCTAGTGGGAAGCAACCACATAGCACAGGGAGATCAGCTCGGTGCTTTGTGACCACCTAGAGGGGTGGGATAGGGAGGGTGGGAGGGAGGGAGACGTAAGAGGGAAGAGATATGGGAACATATGTATATGTATAACTGATTCACTTTGTTATAAAGCAGAAACTAACACACCATTGTAAAGCAATTATACTCCAATAAAGATGTAAAAAAAAAAAAAGCTTTACAGACAAGCAAAAGCTAAGAGAATTTAACAGCACCAAACCAGCTTTACAACAAATTCAAAAGGAACTTCTCTAGGCAGGAAAAAAAACCAAAAAGGAGTCCACAACTAGAAGCAAGAAAATCACAAATGGGAAAGCTCAGCAAGAAAGATAAACATAAAGTAAAAGTTGGAAATCATCCAGACACAAATACGATATCAAAACCAGCAACTGTGAGAAGAGAAGAGTACAAATGCCAAGAAATGGGAAATGCATTTGAAGTTAAGAGACCAGCAACAGAAACACTCATAGATTTCAAAATCAAACTTATGGTTACCAAAGGGGAAACGTGAGGGAAAGTGATAAATTAGGAGATTGGAATTAACATATACACACTACTATAAATAAAACAGATAACTAACAAGGATCTACTGTATAGCACAGGGAACTCTATTCAATATTCCATAATAACCTATATGGGAAAATAATCTGAAAAATAATGGAGATATATATATATATATATAACTGAATCACGTAGATGTACACCTAAAACTAACACAACATTGTAAATCAACTATACTCCAATAAAAATTTAAAAAATAAAATAAGGACATTTAATACTACAACTTTAAAATATCAAAGGGTATTTTAGTCTTCCAACATTTCTATTCTCTCTCCATCTAATTTCACAAAAGCCAACTTATTTTCTTTGGTATCTTAACTTTTTTAGGCATGGTATCACAATAAAATTTTGTGCTTTGATATATGATTTAAATCCCAATTTACTTCAAAGGACAAAGCTAATGTCCTGTAATTAAAAAAAAAAAAAAGTAAGATGCAGATAAAGCATATAAAAAAGACTTACAAGATTCTGAGCAACCCTCAGAGTTTCTGGAGCAATACATCTGGCTGAAATTTTATTGAGTGGAATTATAGTGTATCTACGCTTCAATTCCCCCTTTTCTAGTAGCTTTTTTCCAGTAACCTAAAACGTTGTGCATTAGAAATGAAAAAAATATTAATGACAGAGAACATTTAAGTGGAATGAGTGCAAGTTTAGGAATCCATAATCAAATAAATGCTGAATGCCTACTATCCTGAACAATCAAAATTCTAAGATCGATAATATGCATTCTGGGCTCCTGAGTTAGCATTACTCAGCCATAATAAAGAACGGAATACAGTTAATCAAATATAATCAATAACATAATTAAAAAATCATTAACTCTATAGTTTTACCCTGTAAAGATAAGCATCCAGCCTTAGGAGAAGCTTAAAACATCAAGAAAGTACCCAGTTCTACTAGGAACACATGATTTTTCAAGTAAACAGCAATTATAGCTTTTCTTTCATGAAAATCAATTTACCTCTGTGTCTACTACAACATTGTAGAGTCGGTCCCCAGCCACCAATTCTAAAGCTGTGGTTGCAGAAGTATCTTTCACACTAAACAGTGAAGCTACAAGTCCTTTCACACAATTTCTATTCCAGTTCTTCTCTGGATCCCTAAAACAGAAAAGTGGACAAAAATTAATCTTAGATAAGAAAATAGAAAAAGTTGTACTTTAGTAGTCAAGAGCTCTTTCTGACAATAAAGTAATAGCACAAGAATCATATAGTTTTAATGGAACAAAAATTTTCAAATGACTAGCCAGCTACAGGCATACCTTTTATTGTGTTTCACAAATACTGCTGTTTTTTGTTTTGTTTTGCTTTTTACAAATTGAAGGTTTATGGCAACCCTGCACTGTCAGCTGATAGTATTTTTTAGTAATAAAGCCTTTTTTAATTAAGGTATGTACATTGGTTTCTTTACACAGTATGCTACTATACACTTGACTATTGTTTTAAAATCAATTGAAAGATCTTTCAGTATATATGTTTTCAATGTAACAAAAATAACTTTGATGTTCTAATCTTTGTAATACATATATTAAGTATTCCATGAAAAAAGAACCATATAGTAAAACAAACTGTAAAATGTTAATGTTTACAGTTATTTGGTATTAATGATATAATAACTTTAAAGGAACTTTCCAACTGAGATTAAATTCCCCTCATTTTGGTTTTAAGATTAGTGGCATTAGTAGCCTTAAATTTCACAAGAATTTCCCCTGCCTACAAATCTGAAACATTCAATAAACATTTAAGGAAAATATATCAATTAAGGAAAAGCAGCTTACAATAACTTTCATACAAAAATATATCCTGGTTATTACCATGATGTTAGAATTCAATGTTTAGCTTTCTTACCTGTAGGCAAATCGAAGATTGGGAAATCTGGCCAAGAGAGCTTCATATGTTTCTTTCAATCTACTGATATCACGAGATAGCTGCCTGTGCCTTTCCAGAAGGCATTCCTCCTTGTTTTCTGAACAATAAGTCATAAGTAAATTGAAACCAAGTTTTAAAAATTCAAATATTCTACTGCTTTAAGGAAAATATTAGTAACCTCTATTTCCAAAGCATTTCTAAAAGCAAAATACAAACTTCTGGTAAGTATTAAATAAAAGCATGCTTGACATTCAAATTTCTATCAAGTGTCAAGTAGACATATTTCCAACACATAACACCATTTTCATGCCAAGAAACAACATATGAATTGGATATCTACTAATGTAGAAATATATAAATAACATTTTTGAGTTTTCAAGTGGCACTTCAGAGTGACTAAAGCAGGAAATTCTCAGTATTGAGCTTTCAAAAATTCAAAGGGTTGATTTATACTTATTTTTTGTGACTATATTTATAAATAATTCCTATACTAATATCCATTAATATTAATGGGATAAAATATTTCCTACTTGCTATTTCCTTTATTTAAGGAAGTTTCTATCAATAATCACTACTTTCTAATGATTTAACATCTTTAAAGACCAACCTTCATAATTTAGCTTTTTCATTTCGGCCTCAAGTTTTTCTCTAAGTTTCTTCACAGCTTCTAAAGCTTCTTGATCCTTCCTATAGCCACCATCCATCTTCTTAATTTCTGTTTGTTTAGTCTTTAATTCTTGTTGGGCATGTTTCAACTTCATCTGAGCCTATAACAGAAAAATGTAACAGGCTATATGAGGCAGACAGTGCTAGTGATAAAATGGCCACAGATTCAGATTGCTTTAAGAGACATCAGCCTTAAAAATGTAACTGTTTGGTCACTTGGATCAATATCTCAATAGATCATTTCCCAATGTTTTCACCTCAAAACACTACTCAGAATATAAATGAATAAAAGCTCCAATCATTAAATAATTTGCAATTTAAGTCCATATTTTTAATATTTATAAAACTGATATCAATGAGCTTAAAAATTATATCAAAGAATAACTATCATTAGCTGGTTAAATTAAAAACAAAATAGAAAGCTATTTCTATCACTTTCTTCCCTCCTTTTCCACTTAGATATGCATGTTTGTATTTATGTATATTTGTGTTGTATAATTAACTGTACAACTGTATTGAACAATGAGAAATAAAATTATACAGGAAAAGGAAGCTAAACTGACAGAAAAATTTAAAAACTATAAGTCTGATATTTAAATGCTAGTTTATATAATTGAGCACTATTCCTTAAAACCATGAACTAGTATTCTAAGATCTAAATGACTGTATACTTCCTTTAAAACTGAATGGTGGACTTTTCCCAATATAAAATAAGTTAACAAAAAAAAACTGACCACCACCTTTTTTGTGACCATAAGCTTCGAATGAAAAAGTTGCAAATATATAATAGAAAACCTTGAATGGGATTAATACACACACATCTGTGTATATTTTTAAAGATGAGTCCTCCATTAAAAAACAAAAGAATGTGCATGTGTATATATACATTTTTTCTTTCTGCCATCAAAACTCCTGCGTTCATAGGACTTCTAAGCTGCACAACTATCTAAACAAATATGAAAACCATTTTATAGATCGAAAAGCCATTGAAGATTATGAAATCAGAGTAGGGAAACCAAAGACTGGAATGGGGGTAAATGAGAGGTAGAGATACTTCCAAGGAGGATACTACAAAGTTTCAGAAACAAAGTTTTAAAGAACTAAGTGTGGTGGACATAGAAATGAAGACATTTTTGTTTTCCTGTTAAAGCTGAAAACTTCAATTTTATGTCAATAAAATAGCAAAAAGATGAAAACAAACTAACCTCAAATATTCCATACAATGCTGAAAGCAGAACAGAGCATTTATGGCACTTATAATTTCAATTAATCTATAAAGGTATTTTACGTTTTATAACATCTTAAACTAACATTATAAACTAACATTTATAAACTAACATTGTCAACAGTTAGCAATCAACATATTTGAATTTCATTGTTTTAGGTGCTAAAGAGTGACAGAATATAGTAAACAATAAAAAGTTCCTTGATATTGATCTGATTATTTTCAACATTTTATAACAACTGCCAAAGCATAATGTGAAGGAGCTTCTCAAAAAAAAATGAAAATAAAAAAATAAAAAAAAACTGCAATCACATAGTGCTTACTGTCTATGTTTACCTGTTTGGCTTCTGTCTGAACTTTACTTATGTCATTTTTACAGGCCATCATTTGACCAGCAAGAGTTGCTTCTGCTCCATCTTCATTACTGGACAGGCCAGCGGAAACAGCATTGAAGTGCTGCTGTGCAGCAGCCAAAGCTTCAGCATCTTTATTACTTGCTTCTTGAAGGGCACTCAGCCCATCTGTCATCTTTTTAACCTCTTTTTCCTTTGCTGCTAAAGTTTTAGAATCCTTTAGGAAGAGTTTCAGATTGGAAAGTATTATATTTTAGAAAACCATCCATTTTCTTAAACACATATACCTTTATGTCATCAAATTTCACAGCAATTTGAAGTGAACATGGTAATTTAACCATCATAACTTTATACTTTATTCCCATTTTGAAATTCAGCCTTTCTCAGTTTTTAGGATAAATGTACCTCTTATCCTAGTAATACTTTCATTCCGTATGTTATAGTCAAATCTGGGAGACAGTGAACTAAAACATCATTGCAAATTTAAACAAACCACTTGAAAAAACTAAAAATCAAGTTCTAAACCTATAAAATTGAAATAATAACCACCCTACCCAAAGCTTCAAAGTAGAGATTTTAGGATTAAGAGCATGAATAGGAAAATATAAGCTATTAAAGGCCATAAATTTAAGTGTTAAATAATTATGGGAACAGCATTACTAACACTTAACACCTTTTAAGTTCTAGTAACCAGGTATCTAATGCTATGTAAGATACCAGCACTGAAAGAAAAAAAAAAGAAAAAAAATATCTAGTCACAGTTACATGAAAGTGACCAGAAATTTTGGCTCACTTAATTCATGATTCATTGGATATTTATTAGATATGTACCAGGCATTATTCTAGACATTAAAGACATAGGGTCCTCAGGGAGCCTACATTTCTAAGGTGGAAGACATAGTAAACAAATAACTAAAGCAAGGTAAAGGGACAAGAAATGATGGGACTACTGTTTTAAGAATGATGACGGAAGCCCTTTTGTGATGATATTTTGAGCAGAAACCTAAATGAAACAAAAGGAGTGATCATGCTAATACTAGGGGGACAGCATACTTGGCAAGCTCTGAGGAATATGCTTGGGTGTTAGAGGAACTGTGGTTGGAGCACAGTGAGCAAGTGAAAGCAAGGTAACTATTAAGGACACTACTGAGTATCCCTCCTGGGAGGTGATGGGTTCAACCAGGTTAGCAGTGAAGGAGGTGTGAAAAGTGGCTGTATTCTGGATATACTTTTAGAGTCAACAGAATTTGTTGATGAACTAGATACCATAGAGTTTGAGAGAAAAGGGAAAATTCAGGAGGACTCCAGGTTCTGGAGTGAACAGCTAGGTTAATAGTGGTATCATTTACTTACATGAGAAAAATTCAGTAACTCAGGCAGGTTTGGGTAGGTAGGGAAAATTTAAGAGTTCTATTTTGGTTATGTTAAGTTTTAGACTTCTAAAGTCATCCATATAAAAATGTCAATTAAATAGCTTGACAAATGAGTCCTTCAAAGAAGGAGTCAAGGCTAATTATTGATTTGAAAGGCATCAATATATAGACGGTATTTAGGGCTATAGGGCTGTATGGGATCACCTAAGAAATGAGTGTATATAAAAGAAGTCTGAGCACTAGCCCTGGGGCATGCCAGCATATGTATTTTGATTTGTATTTTCAACCTGGATTCAAGGTTCATATATTCAACTATCAAACCAACATCTCTACTTAGATGTCTAACTGGCTCCTCAAGCCTATTATCCTCCACTCAACAAATGGTAACCATATTTCACACTGTCAAAGACAAATCTCTGGAGTTATCCTTCAGTCCTTTTTCACAGTCAAAAACCAATCTGCTGGCACTACTTACAACAGCCAAGACATGAAAACAACTTAAATGTCCATGGACAGAGGAATGGATAAAGATGTAGTGTGTATGTACACACCCACACACACACACCCACACACAATGCAATATTACTCAGCCATTAAAAAGAACGAAATAATGCCATTTGCAGCAACATGGATGGACCTAGAGATTATCATACTGAGCAAAGTAAGTCAGAAAGAGAAAGACAAATACCATATGATACCATTTATACGTGGAATCTGAAACATGACACAAATGAACATATCTACGAAACAGGAAGACTCACAGACATAAAGAACAGACTTGTCGTTGCCAAGGGGGAGGTGGGTGGGGAAGGGATGGGTTGGCAGTTTGGGACTAGCAGATGAAAACTATTATATATAGGATGGATAAACAACAAGGTCCTACCGTATGGCACAAGGAACTATATATTCAATGTCCTGTGATAAACCATAATGGGAAAGAATATGAAAAAGTATATACATATAACTGAGTCACTTTGCTGTATAGCAGAAATTAACACAACACTGTAAATCAACTATACTTCAATTAAAAAAAATAATCTACTGGCTCTGTCTGCTGGACCTATCCTTAAAATACACATAAATTCCCACAACTTCTCTAATATCCCAACTTCTATTGCATTTATCCAAGGGCTATCACCTGGACACCTACTACCTGGATTCCCTGCTTCTTCCATTTATCTTTAGTTTATCCTCAAAACAGCAATAGTCCTGTTAAAATATTAAAACGTCATGCTTCTGCTCAGCCAACTCCAGCAGCTTCCCATGCCACTCGGAATAAAGGTCAAAGTCCTTCACATGTTTTGCAAAATCACATGTGATCCTACACCCCATTACCTTTCTGCATTTCTACTACTTAGTGATAATCAGCTACACTTATCTCTTTACTTTTGCGGTACCTTAGGCACTTGGGGCAATTGCTGTTCTTTTGCCTGGAACATCTTTCCCCACAGCCTCCCAATTTATCTACATTGTTCTCTGACCTCCTACAGGTCTTTAATGAAATACAGCCCTCCCAATGAGACCTTCGATGGCTACCCAATTTAAAATCCCAAACTACACCCCCATCCCCTATACTACAACCCTCTCCACTGCTTTATTTTCTCTCCACATCAGTTATCACTATATAACATATGATATTTTTCACTTATTTATCATCTTTATCATCATTTCCCTCACTGGAACAAAGACCCACAAGGTGTTTTGTCCATTGCTACATCCTACCCCAAACAATTACCCTTGATCCATAGCAGACACTCAATAAATATTAACAGAATGGATAAATGTATACTACTAGAATTAAATTACACTTCTCGTTTGCTTACCTCTAGCATATTTTTTTCCAGCTCTTTGCGTTTGTTCTCTTCACTTGCCAGATTTTTCTTCTTGAAATCAAAGGCACTCTGAGATTTAGTATTAACTCGCTGAGCTTCTGCAAGAGCATCTTCTAAAGATCGGAGTATACCTCCAATTTCCTATAATCAAATGCACCCAGTTCAATCAATGTACTTAAAAATTTGTTCATGGTGCCCTTTTCTTGTATAATTTCTACATAAATTATTGACTTTTTATAAGCTATTTCATTATTATACTTTAAGATTAAGAAATCGATACAGAAGACAATGCCCAGTAAATCCTAAATAGTTATTGTACAATATATAATTTAATATCTTTTTCAGAGTGTATATTCTATTCTTACATATATGCCTGACCTTATCTTTTCTTTTTTCCAGCTCTTCTATTTCATGACTAAGTGCTTTTATTTTTTTATCATTTTCAGACAATTCTTCTTGAAGCTTCACAATTTTATCCTGCATTTCTTTTAACTCCTCAGCTGAGCGTTCTTTGGTATCTTCAGCCAGCAAAAACTGATAAGCAATATATAAACGACTCAAATGTTCTATTTCTCTCATTAGCTTTTGGTACTCCAAGTAGGAAGATCTTTCCTGAAAGAGAAATCACCAGTAAACTCAAAATTCATATTTTTAAACAAATTTGGAAAGAATCAAAATACAGCAACATGTATAAAATTTCCCACTACATGATATAATGGATTTTGTCTTAAACTGAGTGATCATGGATTATAAATTTTAGAAAGCTTTAAATAACATTAGAACTATGGTTAGATAGCATAATACCATCTCTAGTGAATGTGGTTATTTCTTCTCAAATATAATCATGCAGTTGGGATTAACAAAGAAATGCAGACATAAGATTCACAGACTGGCAGTAATAAGAAGTCTATATAAATACAACCTACACAACCATGAATGATGCACTATTAGATGTACTTTGTAGTAGTATTACCAAGATGCCCACCCAACATTCATTCATGTAACTATTTATAAGTATTTGCTCACACATTACTAAACTGGATTCCCGTTAGGACCTACTGGGACAAAGTAACAAAATAACAAAAAGTTCCTAACTTGAAGAAACAAATTCAGGGTGATTAAATGACCACTCCATATTTTCAGATTTAGAAAGAACTTGTCAAAATCAAACATGATATCTAGGTTTAAACTCGTGATCTAGTGTTTTCTACTAAATCATACATACAAAAGGCAGAACCTTCAAGATCACAATTTTTCAGTTTTTCCAATAATGTCTATGCTACTATATGGATTCAGAAGAGAGCTTGAGAAATATCAAACTTTAATGAACATTTAATAAATTCCTAAATACATAATTTAACACCAATGTGCTATAAACACATTCTTTCACTGAAACACTAATTACAATGTCAGAAGCTGCAAAGATTATAGAGAAAACAGTCATCTGTTTCAATACCTTTCGTTTACCAATTGCCTTGACAGCAGCAATTATAATGACAGCCCCGTTTTATCCGAGGAGTTATTCACTCTACCAAGAAAAGTCACTGAGAGGGCCATATCTTTATGAAATATTATTCCATTCAATTCTAAATGTACAGGAAAATTTAGACTCTCTTCAACAAAGAATTAAAATCTGGCATATTTTCTGAGATTAAGACAGGCAATCTATTTACAAAGCCATTATGACTTAACAGATATGAAGTACACTGTCCTCTACAAGCAGAAGGCTAAGTATGGACTACCAACTCTAACGCCTTATCTCATCCGCCAGAATAATTCCTGAGAAGTGGTACACATTTCATCCCCATGTGTATGATCGTGGATACATCACCAATTCTGAGAAACATTCTAGCTGGCTGTCCTCACATATATAGTACATACCTCTTTTAATTTCTGAATGGTTGGAGTAATTTCTTCTTCAAGTATCTGGAAAATAAAGGAAGATCATATTTTTCAGTATGTGAAGTACCATTAAAGAAATTTAAAAGGGAGAAGTAGGATGTAAGACTAAGGAAAACTGAACTAAGGCTGGGCGGAGCGGGGGTGTGGTAGAATTTCCCTTTTTACAGCAGAGAAACTCTAAATGCAAAAGTACTCTCTTCTCTCAAAATATTTTATATAAATTTAATTACCATCTTAATTTCTTTCAGCTTAGCCTCCTTTTTTTCTATAGTCTTCTGGGCAGCTATCTTTTTGTATTCATACATCCTGGTTCCAGCTGCTTCTTCTATCATGGACAAAATCTGGAAAGACGATTGTATTAATGTTTTAAGAATCCAAGACAATGAGTCTCATTGGAATTTACATTAAGGATATTATTTAATGCCTTAACCTAAGTATCTTAACAAAATTATGGATCATAAAAGTTAAGTACATAAAATTGTGCATATTAGCTAATAACCCTAACATTCAAGAAACATTTCTGGCCTTCACTCCAATTCTAAAATCAAACTTTATGCCATGCTGAGGTTCCAGAGTGCATTTCCTTTAAAACTGAAGCCAGTAATTCCTTCCTCCTCTTTTCCTTCAAATATGAGTCTTAGAAAAAATAAAGGCTAACAACATTCAGTTTTCATTTTAGAAATTTCTACTTAAAATTGTTCCAAGTGAGACTTCAGCCATTTTGTTCCTACAAGAATGAAGCATGGCCTAACGTCTGCATTCCAACTGTGGCACATGCTTTAAGAACTTGGGAAAGTAACTTAATTTTTTCTGTGCCTCTGTTTCTTCTTCTGCAGAGTACTGATAATATCTCACAACATTGCTGAGAAGTAAACATGAAGTAAAATAATTCATGAGAAGTACTCTGAAAAAGGCAAATATTAATTACAATTTTGTAAGTAGGACAATTTTGCTAGCACTCCTTTTTCAGAAGCTTCTAGTCACCATCAATCCCTATCTCAAGAGGATTTCTCTGAAAACCATTTTGATTTCTATGTATTTGACAGGTTTTGAATTAGAAGTTTTCCCTTGTTATCTAAAGAAAATAAGCATGACCTATGGTCAAACCAGACAAGTATTATCAATTATCAGTCATCTTCTTAGTTCTTCTCCATAGAAAAAAAATACCAAAAGAGTTTTTGCTCTTATACAAAACGTTCATTCCTTCGTACCAACTCTTCTCAAGGGGGCTCTAAGAGAAAATTAAGTCTTAATGTCCTAAGCAATCCATTGTATGTAATGAATTAATTTCACTCAAATCTTTTTCTATAGGCTGACATGGAACACCAGTTGAGAAAGGCTACTTTATAGAGGCAAAATTTCTTTTAATACTGTATCGGGCACATAAAATTCCTAGACATCAGTCTTGACAATGATTTTTTTTTGGATTTGACACCAAAAGCAAAGGCACCCAAACCAAAAGTGAACAAGCGGGACTACATCAAACTAAAAAGCTTCTGCACAGCAGAGGAAATCATCAACAAAATGAAAAGGCAACCTACTGAATGGGAGAAAATATTTGTAAATCATATATATAAGCGGTTAATAACCAAATACACAAAGAACTCATACAACTCAATAGAAAAAAATCAAATGAAAAAATGTGCAGAGGGTATGAAGATATCTTTCCACAGAAGACATACAAATGGGCAGCAAGTACATGAAAAGATGGTCAACATCACTAATCATCAGGCAAATGTAAATCCAAACCACAATGAGATATCACCTGTCAGAATGGCTATTATCAAAACGACAAGAAATAACAAGTGCTGGTGAGGACGTGGAGAAAAGGGAACTCTTGTGCACTGTTTGTGGGACTGTAAATTGGTGCAGCCACTATGAGAAACAGCATGAAGTCTCCTCAAAAAATTAGAACTACCATATCCAACAATTCCACTTCTGGACATTTATCTCAAGGAACCAAAGACATCTGCACTCCCATGTTCACTGCTACATTATTTGCAATAGTCAAGACATGGAAACAACCTAAGTGTCCACTGATGGATGAATGGATAAAGAATATGTGATATTTATATATATAAATAAATTAAATAGAGTATTATTTAGCCATACAAAAAGGAAATCCTGCCATTTGTGACAGCATGGGTAGGGCCTCGAGGGCATTATGCTAAGTAAATTAAGTCAGACACAGAAAGACAAAAACAGTATAATCTCACTTCTATGTAAACTCTTAAAAAAAAAAAAGTGAACTCATAGATACAGAGAACAGATTGGCGGTTGCCAGAGGTGGGGAAAGGGTGGTGGGCAAAATGAGTACAGGTAGTCAAAAGGTACAAACTCTAAGTCCTGAGGATGTAATGTATGGCATGGTGACTACAGTTAGTAATACTGTACTGCATATTTGAAAAGTGCTGACAGAATAAATCCTAACAGTTCTCATCTTAAAAAAAAATTTTACCTGTGTGGTGACAAATGTTGAGTAGACTTACTGTGATCATTTTGTGATATATACATATATTAAATATATGTATATATATATAGAATCATTATGTTGTACACCTGAAACTACTTTATGAATTATATCTCAATTAAAAAAAAATAATTTTTTAAAAATTTTGCTTAATAAGGTCCTAAGACTTTTCTTTTACTTCTTTTAAGGATTCTCATTTAATCCTCAGAACAGACCCTGAGGTAAGGATTATTGGCTCCAATTTATGGATGAGGAAAGTAAGGCTCTGAAGGTTTGTTACATAACTTAAAAAAAAAACAGGGCACAGTGTTAAATATTAAAAAACAAAACTATTTCCTCTACTTATCATTCTTAAATGTTTCCAAGAGTTTTAATAATGGAAAAAATTATGTTAAAAAAATTGATTACCTAGAAGATTAAGACAATATCTATAATTACTATTTTTACTGTCCTTAAAGAGTACTCTTACCTCTGGAGGTTTCATATTCAACACTTTTGTAATTCGGCCCTGAAAATAAAATTGGCAAACTTACTATGATAATAACAAAATACAGAAAGAATAACCTAAGACATACATGTTTATCTGCACTGAAGCTGTTGTATCCTAATACACCAATCTTTTGGGAGTTATTTCTTCCACCTACATGAAAAGATGTTTCTTTTATTATATTTGAGACCAAAGGTAGCTTATAACTCTAGAATTTTGTTACCCACTTTCTCACAAGTGATACAAATTACATGTTATTAAATGATACAAAGTTAACTCGACCATATTTCCGAAACAGTTAATATTAATGATGTAGAAGTCTCCAATTCTAAGACAGGTAAGTATATAAATTAATGTTAGCATAATTATTGAACATTTCTTGATTTTTTGGAACAATGGCCCTCCAAGATAAGTCAAAGAAAATTACTTCCAGACATTCTTCAAAATTCAAATTTATACAATATACTAGAACACGTAAGTACAAAAAACTAACTCACATTTCTTAACAGGTGCCCAAACAGCAGGCTAATAGTAAAATAAAAAATGAAAAATCCAAACAGAAGCACTTCTCTTATAAGTTAAAAAATAAAAGATGTCAAAACTATTATGAAAGAGATATAAGACCACAAACGAAATACCTGCATGATGAGAAAGTGAGGGTTGTTAACATTAAGGCCAACAGAACAAAAGAGATCCTGTACTCTGGTATTGTTTGCATTTACTCCATTGATTAAATATTTATTTCTGCCACCAATAACCACCTAAAAGGGAAAGAATTTTAAAAGATATAAATGAACACACACATCTTGTGCTATGATGATAAATTCCCAAATACATTATTTTTCATGTTTGTTCTGTCCAACTAACGGTAAACAAAATCAATATAGGGTAAATAATAAAGAAAGTGTGACATGGTCAAAAAGAATATGAGACTGAGTCAGGATAATTGGCTTCTAATCCAGGGACTTTTACTAACTAGTTACGTAACCAAGCACAAGCCTCCTAACCTCCCCTGCAGTGGATTAGGTCTCTAAGGGCCCTTCTAGCTTCATGTTTCCAAGTATGTGTAGATTGTAGTTTCTATCCCTGATCACCCTCTTTCTACAATTTTCCATACTCAGAGGTTAACCCCTCTTCCTCCCTTTTGATTTCCAAAGGAAAAGAAGTCAGATACTGAAAATGAAAGGCAAATAGTTTAATATCAATCCCTGTCAAGATGCTAAAAGGGATTAGTAAAAGACATGACTGGTAAATACTTGAAAGAAAAAGAGTAACCATGGAACTTCGGCATGGGTTTAATAGGAACAACTTATACTAGATACCAGCTTGTTCACACTCTACTACAGCACTTGCATTATCATTTTTGGGGTATGATTGTCTCACCCATATTTTGAGGTCCTTAAAGACAAGGTATGTTTCTCATTCTTTCTATCTGTATTTCCCAGTGCATTCAACAATGCCCAGCACACATTAAGCACTTAATAAATATTAAATAAATATTAATTCACTCCTTTTCCCTGACAGGATTATGAGGGTGGTAGATCATTTATTAATATATTTGAACAACAGTCCTAATTTACCCATAAGTAATTTGAGACAGTCTTTATAACAAAATTATGGTGAAGATACAGGCATATGGATTGCATGAGGACAGGAATTTGGGGTAGATTAGTAGCAGACTTACTTAAAATCCTTAAAGGGTTATTATTTGATAGATGCTTAATGACAGAGAACAGGATTCTGTCCCAATCTAGTCAATCCCCCGCCCTTTTTTTTTTCCAACCAGAGGCTTTCATTAAAATAGAGAGGGAGGGCTTCCCTGGTGGCGCAGTGGTTGAGAGTCCGCCTGCCGATGCAGGGGACACGGGTTCGTGCCCCGTTCCGGGAAGATCCCACATGCCACGGAGCGGCTGGGCCCGTGAGCCATGGCCGCTGAGCCTGCGCGTCTGGAGCCTGTGCTCCGCAACGGGAGAGGCCACAGTGAGAGGACTGCGTACCGCATAAAAAAAAAAAAAAAAAAAGTAAAATAGAGAGGGAAATCTAAGTTACATAATGCTAAGTTGGAGAGTAAATGCGAATTAACATAATTTTTTCAAATAAAATTTTGACAAACTGAAAACATTGTCTGACTATAATAAAAAAAGATTTTAAGGGACAGATGTAAGGTCCTTCCTTGGTTTCAAAAACCTGCTTAGATACAGAACTGGCAGTATGTGGCTAAGTAATAACACATAAACAATTTACAGGGATTTTTAGTAACTCAGATATGAATTCACAATGTATCATGAAGTCTCCAACATCATATTGAGAAAAATAGAAGTAGAGTACTTAAAAATGAAAGAAGCAACAATTCTGCTTAATCCTGTCGTAGCTAGACCAATTCTGGTATATGTAATTTGAGGTGCCAAGCATTAAAAAAAAAAAAGATATAAAAACCTGGAGCAAATTTGTATTCAATTCAACTGAAAGACCTATAAACAACTAAATATCAATTGAAAGACCTAGATAGAGAGTTAGCTTAGGAAACAGACTTACAGAACACTTAAATATTGAAATACGGAATAAATTAGATTTGCTCTTGATGCTCTCAAGAAAATGAGGATTAATGTGTAAAACTTGAAGACAGCACTTTGGCTCAATATATAGGAATAACTTTCTAATTAGACCTTTGCAACAACAGAATGGGTTACCTGAGAACACAGAAAGATCCCAAGAGCTACACGTGTTCCAGCACAGAGAGAGAAGACTCAAGTGTGGTTCAAGATTTAAGCATGGTTGAGTGCTTGGACTGATGGATTTCAGATCCCTTTCAATCCTCTTGGTACACGGCGGAATTTGCATGATCAAAATTTAACATAAGGAAGATATTCTTAAGGAATCTAGTCAGTATTTGATCCATCAATTTTGCTCATAAACTTTCTCTCTCCAGTAGTCACATTGCCAAAACGCACATCAGACCTGCAAGTTTCTAGGTAACCAAATATTTAGTAGCCACTCACCTGCCTTGTTACTGTAATTTCATCATGAATCTCAAATCCTAAAGGACTCTGCTTTTTGTCAGAATTATCAAAGGTGATTGACACGGAGGCTTTGGTAATACCAGCCTGCCCATTTTTGTAAACTAAATCTTGTAGATTAGAAGCCCGAACCTAAAATAAAGGAAAAGTTTCAGTTACAAAACCCCATACTACGCAAAATAGCACTAAAAATGTGCTTCTTGCTGTCGGAAAATCACCCATGTAGTATCCATTAAGCAGCCAAGGATAGGCAGTGGCATTCATAAGCAAGAAGAGCAAAGAAAATGGGTAACAACCTGAAATGGGCACCTTTCTCCATAGGACTTTTTCAACCCTGAAGAGAACTATTTTCTACTCATTTCTTAACAAAAGCTCATTTGAAAGATTTAAGGAAAGACAGTGTCTACGAATTTCACTATTCATCCAATCCCATTAGAAGGTCCTGAAAAGACATTATAATGGGGGGGCGGGGGAAGGGATGGGGTGAGGGTACAACTCTGGAATGAGAATGCCTGAGTTTCAGTGTTGCTCCAAACATCTTAAGAAGATGAACCTTAGGCAACTCCTCTAAGTTTCTATTTTCTCACCTAAAATATGGACTTTAAAGGACTGTGGTGAGGTATAAGATATTTCACATAAAAATGCAAATGAAGAGGATACTGGCAATAGTCTCTAAGTGCAATGAGGTTTCCCTCGAGGCTCCTCAAACTTAAATTCACATAAATGAGAAAGTTTACACTTTACCTGAGACAGGTTGGAGATGCCCAGCAAAAAGCAGATGGAGTCCAATATGTTGGATTTCCCACTACCATTTAAACCAGTGATAGCATTGAAGAGGGGGTCAAAACCATTGACTTCAGTCCTCTGAGCATAAGACTTGAATCCCTCAAGAATGATTGACTTAATGTGCATTTTCACTACTGACTCCGACAGGCAAATCTCTGCTAGAAATCAAGCAAGCCACAAAGCAGTTCTGTACAAAACAAATAACAACACATAAGTGGAATGTAAAACTGGAACCATAATAAATGTAGAAGACTGAAACATAAGAATGACAGCTCTATAGAAATAAAACAGCCACTTGCCAAGCTACTTCCTCTGATGCAAAGGTATCTTTCTTTAACTTAAAAATATACAGGCGTTAGTCTCTAGTTAGAACTTAATTAAACCATTAATTCAACCTGGAAGCCAACCACTTACTTCTCCAGGCTTATCTTCCACCGTTATCATACTCTAGGTAACGTAGGCTGATTATTTCACACCGCATCCCCTTTGCCCATAATGCCCTTCTCCCGGATACTGGCATGGCTCACTCTCCATTCCAAAACTCACGTCTTTGCTCAAACGTCACCTAACCGGGGTCCTTCCTGACTTCCCTATATAAAAGAGCACCTCTACCCACCCCCTCGCTCTGCTTCCTTTTTCCTTCATTGCACTTAAAGCTGACACTAAACAGTACTTATTTACTCGTCTATCCAACCTATCACAATGTAATCTCCGTAGCATCTTCGCCTACGTCCACCGCAGTATGCCGGAATAGTCCCTGACTCGAGGGCGCGGGATGGGGGCGAGGGGGGGGTTCGTAAATATTTATTAAACAGATAAACCCCACATAAAGAGATGAAGCTTTTTGCTTTCACTCAGGCTCTTTCCTCGCCTCACCAGGCCTTTCTGTCAACACTTCCCCGCCCTACTTCAATGGCAAGAACTAGCCATTCTGCCAGGAACCCCTTAGAACTAACTTTAGTGTGAGGTCCCTTGCTCCTCGGCTCCCCAGCCCCCGACGCCCATCTCCGGCCAGGAATGCCAGGCTAGGCCCAACCGGCCGCGCGCACGCACCTGCCTCACCGCTGCGTCAGGCCGCCTGGGCTTGCGGCACCCACAAAGCTCTTCCTAGTCACTAGGGCGGAGAGTGGGCCAGCCTTGCCCGGCTTCGGGCGCTAAGAAGCAAATCCCACCATAGCGGCTACAACACTCAGCCCGCGCTCAGCAGCGGAGAGGAACTATTTATGCCTTTGAATTTAGGCGCGAGCAAAGGACCCCACCTCCTCTGCCTATTTCATTGGCTGGTGCCTCAGAGATGCCTGACTTCCATTTTTCTCTTCCATCAAACAACCAAAGTGACAGGGAGATAGAAAAGAAGGTCGCGACGGTGGCGGCTCCGGGAAAGTGACGGCTTGGGCCTGAGGACTAAAGGAGCTGGTGGCATACGTTGACCTCGGCGTCCGGCACACCTCGGACAGCCCCGCACCTCCGCCTCGGGGCCTCGCGCTCGCCGGCCCCGCCCCGCCTCAGGCCCGGTTTTGCGGCCGCTGCGTTCGGGAAACCCTGCCTTCCCGCGGGCCTGGTGGGGGGGGGGGGACTCGCAGGTGCCGGCTGTTGTGTGGTCTGTGAGCAAGGGGGGCAGGGTGGCTTCCTACCGGTCTCCTCGCTCTGCTTCAGAAGCCCCGGAATCTCCCCATGCTGGCGCAGATTCATCAAAAATGGAAGCTGCCCCTTGTTGGGACGGGGGCAGCGCCGACCGAACTTGTGAGGACTGTGGGTCGCGGTCTGGCTCCACCCCTCGCCGGCTACATCTCGGGTTTAGCGTCCGGAAGGGACGATAGGCTCGCAGCCAAAGCTGTGCAGCGCTCAGGGGAGAAATTGAGTGGGGCCGATAGTAGGTGCTGGACGAATAGGAGTTCCCCTCCTTTCACTGAAAAGCTGTAGAATGATAAGCAATGGCAGAACTAACATTTAAGAGAATTTTAGGGGGAACACCTTGTAACAGCTGATATTTATTGCGTTTCGTGTGCCAGGCTGCGTTCCAAGGGCTTTAAAAAATCCTCGTAGCAACCCTGTGAAATCCGTGATATTGCTCTCATTTTACAAATGAGCAAACTGAGGCACAGGTTAAGCAACTTATTCCAAGTAGTAAGCGGAGCAGCGGAGATTTGTTCCCACGCAGTCTTGCTCCAGAGCACGTACTCTTAAATAGTATATTTACTTCTCTTCGTGTATAGACTCCAGTACTAGTAATAACAGATCCTGTTATCAGTGTGTACTTTTCTTTAAAAAAAAAAGAAAAAGGCCAGTTTACTCACAGTTAAGGATATTGATACTAATGAGTTAGGAAGGGCTTGGCTTCATAGTGCGCTATGGTGCTGTCTATTCCTAGGTGATGTATAAAAAGATGGTTCAGTCAGTATGCTGTTTTAGGTTGTATATTTAAAGTTGTTTTCTTCGCCCCGGGTTGGCTTTGCAATATTTAATACCAGTCGAACTACCAAGAATTACCAAGAATGAGCCAGTGTTTTGAAGTTCTTTCTCTACTTAAGAGAATAAGTTTTATGAAGTTTTTTGTTTGTATAAGAAAGAATTCATTTGTTTACTCTCATCCCACCCACTTATATAAGTCAATCATTACAGGCCTAACATCATTTAGTCAAGCAGTTATCTTTGTGTACTGTGATTCCTTCATCTACACTCCACAGCTCTTCACTTGTACTGATTCTATTCAGTCTTAATATACATTTCTTTTCAACTCTGTCGTCTTCATCACTGTGAATAAAGAATTTTAATTTGCCAACAAACCCTAATGCGGATTTTACCAAGTTGTGAGATAAGCAGTTCTTTGGGGTGAAAGTGTAAGTGTTAAGACAGACATTATTAGCCTTTGCACTATTTTAATTAGTTAATAACTAGCTGATATTATTTAAGTCAAATGGATAAAAAATATATGCAAATACACTTGCTGGATAAGAACTTCTGGGTAGTTATAAAAATAAACACATCTAACTACTACTAAAAGTAATTGTTAAAATGAAAATTCCTTATAAAAGGAGAGATCTAGAGCAATTTTAGTCTTAGAACACGTCAGAAGCACGAAGGAATTTCCGTTAGTACAGGTGGACTTGAGGAAATCACTAATGGCTGACTTACAACTGGCCCCTGAGATCACCACAGAGAAGTGGAGAACACCAAGGCACAAAGCCGCTAAAACCACTCTAATGTGGAGAGGTTAGGGCTGGAAGTAAAGATAGACTGTAGGGTGGATATAGTATAAATAGAGCACTGTTCTTGTTTCATCACCGTGTATCAAAAGCTTTTGAAAGCTTTAACACTGGCTGGCTAGTGTAGTCTTCGTCCTTACGTAGAAGGCAGCAGCCCAGCAAGGACACTGATAAAAGCCATAAAACAAGACCTAGGAAAAAGACTTGGTCTTCTACTCTTCCAGGGCATTGGCAGGGACCGTCTTTCCCTGGGTGCACTTTTCTAATTTTGGAGTCCTACAGTAGTTCTTCTGTGGACCTGGGTGAATCCTCTTTCCCTGGAATTTAGGACAGAAGGAAAAAACTGAAAGAACTTTACCTTCATTGCAGAAATAAGGAAAGGTTGATTCATTTTGTTGAGAGATTAATTTTTGGTTCAAGGGGATGAACTGAAGTTCACATTGCAAAATTGTATTGAGTAGCAGCACATTTTGAATACACCAAGTATAACCTGTCTGACAAACTTGGAAAGAAATACAGCTGAGCATAATTTAAAATGAGGACTAGAAAAGGAGGTGATTATATTCATTCACTTGTGGGATCTGCTTGGACACATTCATTTTCATTTCAATGACAATATTCTTTTCAATACTCCATGTTCTGTTTGGTGCCTTGTGAAATCTGCCTGTACTTTCATTATGATTTCTATTATTTTGCCTCCTTAGTCAAGTTAAATATCTTTATCTTCTCTTTCAGGTACTTCTACTATTTCCAGCTTTTGAGTTCCTAACTCTTACTGTTTACAGCAGTGGCTCTTACTCATAGTGATTTATTTCCTCCTGTGGTGCTGTTCTGGGATGGGGTTGTTTTGTTTATGGGAGTCTCTTATGCCCTGAGTTGTGAAAGCGTCCTTTCAGACCAGTTACACATTTGTTTCTGCCAGGGTTCTTTGACTCTTAAAGATCTGGGTACATTTGTAAATGATTGTTTCTCAGTTTGTGGTTCCTGAATAATGCAGATATTGTAAATTTATATCTGTTGCAGGTCTGGGGTTTTGATTGCTCAGGAGTCATCTTTTGTTTTATTCCCCTATCCAAAGCTCCAGGCAAAGAACAAATTTCCTTGCCTCTTACCCAAGCTAGTAGGTGGAGTTTTTCCAATCCCAATGACTGGCAGATCTTTAAGGCTCCAGGTTTTACCTAAGGGCCTAGTTCCAGCTCCTCTGACTCAGTGAAGCTCAAGGGCCAGTGCTTGTGCATTAGAGCCCAGCCACTGGCTTCTGAGCCCTATAGCCAAGTGTAAAATAAATGTTGGAGGGCTGCCTGTCAGTGCCTGCTCTTCAAATTGTCTCTGGCACTTAGGATTTTCTAAGTGTTTTTTGTTTTTTGTTACCGTGCTTGATATATGGTTTACATGCCAATTGTTATGTTTTACCCAGTATTCCTATGAGTTTATAAAGGGAATTTTAGTCAGCCAGGCTAGAGGAGGTCTTCCCATTAACCTTTTATGAAGCACATCAGGGATCTTTGTTTTGCTCCTGCTGAACCTTGCTTTCAGATTCTCACATTCCACATTCAAATTAGCTTTTCCTAAAACACAGAGAAAGATGTCTGGTACTAGCGCTTAAGAAAATATTTTCATGCAGTACTCATAAAATCCAGTGTCTATGTACTTATTTCACATTTTTTCAGTTTTTCCAGTTCTCCTTGGCTTTTATCACTTCCACACTGGTTAATAGCCAATGCTACCCATCTCATTGCTCTTCTGCTTTGCCACACCCCTTCCATTATGGGAGGATTATTCATTCCCCTTTCTCAAATATCATTCTCATTTCATTGTTCTCCCTCTCACAGTGGTTCCTTATTACTTTTTATTTCAAATCCACAACATCTGCTTGACCTTCCTCTATTGGTTTCCTTTTACTACCAACTCAATTCTTACTAGATTTCACTCTTAGATTTTTTCCCACAAGATCTGCCCCTCTGTAATCAACGTTTCCTCTCTGTTACATTATTCAAATTCCTACTTAAATTTCTACTTCAACAATACTTAGCCACCAGTCTCTGCCCTCTCTAATGTCCTACAAACTATATATGTTTCTGTATCAGAAATATGATATCTCTTTACTCTGTATAAACTTGGTGAAAATTGCCTACAGAATTAATTCTAACCTCTTTAAGGTGGCATGCCTGGCCTTTCATAATTTATTCTCAACCTGCTTTCCTAGACTCATCTCCTGCAGCTTCTTCCTTAGATTACCATGTCATTTGTTGTTCACTACTGTAAACCAAGCACCAACTAATGACAAAAAAAAAAGTGTTCGATAACTTTTAAAATGGATAGATGAATGAATGTATGAATTCAATAGGCATTTATAGAATGCCTACCTTATTCTGAGAATTGTACTATGTTCTGGGATACAAAGATGAATAAGATGTGGGCCTGTCCTCAAGGGAGTCCATAGTTGAATAGAGATGACATGTATAAAGACATTAACCAGAGGAAGACTGAAAGGCATTATAAACAGAATAGATTGCACAGGCAAGGGCATAGAAGATAAACAATGTATGAGGCAAGAAGTAGCAAGATTTAGTGTAGGAGATACACAGAAGCCAGATTATGGAGCATTTTGTGTGCCATCTTAAAGAACTTTTTGTCATCCCTGAAATATTGATGTTCTCTTCTTTGTTATCTTCTTTGTATCTTTGCCCGTGCTGAACTTGAAATGCTTATCCCTTCTCCATATCTACCCCCATGTGTATTTCTACTGATACTTCTAACCCCAAATCTTATCCATTTCTGGATGATTTATTTGCAACCTCTTCTGTAATCCCTTAACCCTTTATCCAGACTTTTCTTCTGACCTATATTGCTATTGTGACATAGCTTTGTGACAAAGCACATAGTAGACAATATTGGTTGAATATGAATAAATTTAGGAGATTCATTTGCTGCTTTCTGATCAAGGTAAAGGGAAAGAATAGATTAAAAAAATAAAGACTTGGAAAATATTGAATTATATGACATAATCCACAAACTAGTCAATACTATAAGATTCAGCAAGTTAAGAGTGGTGATTATTTCGTTGATCTAACACTGAAAATTTTTTTCAGCTTGCAGTGTTCTTTTTGTGTAATACCACCAGCGACCACTGTGACATTCATAAGGCTGAGGAATCTATCATGACATGAACATTACCGCTTTTGGTTTCACGGAGCTCTCAGTGCCATATACTTTCCTCAGTCCTGCTCTTTTGACCCGTAAAATAAAAAATAGGTTGGATTTAGCATAGGTAGTAGTGCTGAGCAGGGACAACAGGAGGAAAGTTTCCTAATTGGGCTGGTTGGTGGCGTCTTCTTATTTATTATTTATGGCTGTGTTGGGTCTTCGTTTCTGTGCGAGGGCTTTCTCCAGTTGCGGCAAGCGGGGGCCCCTCTTCGTCGCGGTGCACGGGCCTCTCACTATCGCGGCCTCTCTTGTTGCGGAGCACAGGCTCCAGATGCGCAGGCTCAGTAATTGTGGCTCACGGGCCCAGTTGCTCCATGGCATGTGGGATCTTCCCAGACCAGGGCTCAAACCCGTGTCCCCTGCATTGGCAGGCAGATTCTCAACCACTGTGCCACCAGGGAAGCCCCACGTCTTCTTTGTATAGAAAGAAATGTTGCCAGCGATTCTGCTTGGAAGACTAATTTAGAATAATTTTTATTTTGTATATTTTTATTAGTTAATGGGATCTAGAAGTGTAATAACCTGGTGAGAATTTCTCTGCAAACGGCAGTCAAATTAGTCTTATTCATGAAACTCACAAATAAGCTATAATTCAGCATTTTATGTCTGGGGAAAATAAAACTGGGGTCATGCTGTTTAAGAGGATAAGGGGATTTAACGGAACACTGGGGGATTAACTGGAAGCTTAATTATGATTTAAATTAGAGGTCAAGCTGTGCAATGTGTTTTCTTTCTAGGGGAAAATCTTTGGGGAGATAGAGTATGCTTGTTTAAAGAAGAAACAGAAAGCAAATGAAAAAACAGACTGCATTTTCTGTTTTTCTTTTAAAATTTCAAGCTGCTGTAAGTCAAATTGCCCCTGAATTCCTGATGATGGCTGTTGTGAAATTTCTTTAACTTTCTTTGTGTTATTCTTGCCCTCTATTCCAGAGCAGTTATTTTACTTGACAGTAACAAAAAGATGTAGGCAGCATATCTGCCAGCAAACTAATATGGAAACTGGAGAATAAGGTATTCTCAACTCTTCTAGAATTGTGACATCCTATCATTTTAGGCTGACTCACATAAAATCAGCAACTTCTACAGAGGGAAGGGCCCTGGAGGAATTATAGCCACTCATTTTGCAAATGGAGAAATTAAGGCTTCTGATGATTTTCTTAAATTTATTCTTTATCTCAAATAAATTAAGGTCTAATGAGGAAATAAAATAGGTATATGAATGATTTTAATTCAAAGTATAAAGAAATTGCTTTCCTGCAAAATAAAAATTAAAACAGATTATCAGAGGTTGACTCTGTAGGTAGCATTTTTACTTGTAAAATAACAGTTAGACCTAACAGCCCAGACTTTTACTCTCTGACATTTCCCTCTCCCTCTGACAAATACCTCAATAAGTAATAGCACAACCACCATGCAGGATTCAGCTGTGGGTGCGGATAGAGTCAGGTGGAGAGTGGGGACAGAAAGCCTGAGAAGGAATTGAAATGATCTGTTCTCCCTTTAAGGCTCTGAAATAAGGCCAAGTCAAGAATGGAACATTTAAACAATCCTTGACTAGAACTTTAAGAATAATATTGGGGAAACAATCAATAGAATATGGTGAAAAGAGAGAAGACTCTAACTTACAAGACATAAAATGGGTCAACAAGATAGTCTGGGACTCACAGGCATAGTGTCATCTGTGTGGGACCCCAGAAAAACAAATGGCACTAGAGTGTCCCATCGGAATCCCTCCTGTTATTCCCCCCGACCCCACCATCTTCCATCCTAGTTTCTCTATGCCTTGCTTGAGAAGCAACCCTACAGTCATTCACTTAAAGGACCTTTTCCTCATATAAGGCAAACTTGTAACACAGGATTGGTGCAGAGTCCCAGGGAAGCCCAAAAGAAGAAAAAAATCATGGCTGTGGACATCATCAAGAGATACATCCTCAGAGGATTTTCCTAGATGGTATTTGAGCTGAATCCTTAAGGAAAAATATGCCTTTGACAGTTGGAGGTAGGGAAACAACAGTCCAAGTGGACAGATCATTTGGGGACAATACAAGGAGGTAATGGCTTTGATAGGAGATAACCCTGTACAGGCTTCCAATAATTTTACTAGCAATTTATACCACTCTTATAGCGGGTGCTGTGCCATACCACGCAGAATCCTCCTTCGGGTAGAGGCATGAGATCCTCCAGTTGCCAGGAGTTTTGGCTGCAGATTGCTTACAGCTGAGACTCTTCCCCAGCATTGTCCTCCACAGAAGGAAGTTGCCCAGCTGAAAGCTACACCTCCTCTTCTGTGTTGGCCCATATCCAATGACTTGATGCAGGGACACAAAAACCCCTTTGCTTCAACCAGGACAACTATAAAGCGCCATCTGAAGAGCTCCCCATGCCATCAGCTGAAGCCTGTGACTGCATCGCAGTGCGGCTTCTCCCTCTGGCCAATTCTGCTTTCTGCACTAGGTCACAGGTGTTCTGCACAGCACTCCCAAATAAACCTACTGCACACAAATCTCTGTCTCAGTCTACTCTTTGGGGAATCCACCTAAGATAATGCCAGATAAAACTTGGGATACTATAGGCTATTTTAACAGAATTTAATGTACAGTTTGGAAAGCCTAAAGTGTGCCTATGATTCAGTCATTAGAAGTGCTGACTCGTGGTCTCTATGGTAACAAGTTGGCATCTCAAGTTAAGTGCTGAATTACTAAACCGATTTATATTCCACTGACAAAGAACCGGAAAGGAAAGAAATACCTGAGCTGTGATTCTTCTGCTCTCAGGCTTTGCCAAACCCATCAATCAGTTCTGGTCACTAAGCGTTAGGTGCTCTATCAGAATGGCTATATCAGGAAGTTATGCTGTGGGGAAAAAAAATAAAAATTACCAAGGGCTTAAAAACAACGACTTATTTCTTGTTCATGCTACATATCCATTGCAGAGGGAGGAGGCATTTCTTGTTTTCATAGTCAGTAAGGAAGCCAGCCTAATGGAGCAGCCACTACCTAGAATCTTGTAGATACCTGCTAGAGGGAACAAGAGCTCTGGAAGTGCCTAGAACCAGAATTTAAAATGCTCCATCCAAAGTGACACACGTCACTTACACTCACAATTCACCACAGCTATTTATGACAAGGGGCTCAGGAAATGCAATCTCAAAATGTGCCTGGAAAGGCACAAGGAGAAGGAGAGAACTGGACTATTTGGCAGGCTGTACTAGCAACTAGGGGAAAATCTTGGAATCTAGAAAATCAAAAAAGAAAAGAAATAGGTTAAACTGATAGTTGAATTTTCAACTTTCAATTAAATGGAAAGCATCTTAGTAGTAAGTACTCACTGATCCTTTATTATCTTTCAAATTATATTTGCACTGTTGGATTTTATATTTATCTATTTTGAAAACATGTGTTAGGTATCTGCTATTTACGAAGTGCTATGATAGTTACTCTTAGGGCACAACACAAAAAGAAATCTCTGGATCTGTTTCTTTAAAGACATATCTAGTTGGAGATATAGGCATTCAAATTATATAGGGGAAGAAAACAAAGAGAAGACGGGGTGCGGGGCAGGCCGTGTTTAGTGAGTGTAAAAGAGGCTAACTGTTAAATGCCGAGTTTCCAGGTTTGAAGCTGGAGTGGACAAAATTGTGCCTTCTACAAATATGCTTGAAAATAGCCTGCTGATCTGAGCTATACAGAGGGGCTAAACAAAAGTAAATGTTACATTATCGTTTTTAAGTCCACTGCTTGATTTCCATTCCACCCCTCCCATTCCAGATCCTTTATTTATATTTTAAAAAATTCCATAGATAATGCCACAAATGTTTGTGTGGTTAGGACAAATGATTGCGAACTGAAAGGTGACATCATTGCTCCTTGAAATTAAGAGCCCTGCTTTTTTGGTATTCTGTACAGTCCCTTCCAAGTTAATGATGATTTATGGTGATAATTATAGTAAGTTGCTCCTCTAATGCCTAGTTTACATTACTATTAAAGTTATTTCCACAACATGCTCATGAGTTAGGTTCAGGAAGTTTTAATAAAATTATTCCCATACCATAGATAGAGGAATTGAGGCTGAAAGAAGTAAAATAATTTAATCCTAATTGCAGTTATCTGTAGCTGTGAACAAACCACCCTAAAACAGTGGCTTAAAATAATAGCGCTCATTTCTTTGCTCACCCGAGGGTTGACTAGGATCAGCTAGTCAATGCTCACCTGGGGTCTCTCGAGCAGTTGCAATCAGGTGACGGCTGGGGCTAGGTCACCTCTAAGGCTTGACTCACATGTTTGATGCCTGGGCTGGGAAGTCTCTAGCATCCAGTGTGAGAGCCATTTGGGCTTCTCAGCCATAGCTCTCTCCGTGGTCTGCCTACATGGACTCTCCACATTGTGTGTGGGCCACCCTGGGAAGGGGCGTGAACTGGGGAAACATGGTTCTCTGCAACTGAAGCAACCCCTGAAGGTGGTGACAGCTGAGGATTGTCTGCCAGTAGGACTCCCAGCAGCTGAGGCAACAAGTTCTTCATTGAAGGGAGATTACTTACACTGGTTCCAAATCCAGTACCCTCCCATTTTGTCACGCATCTCCACTGATGTAACACCACTAGTCTGTTGACATTAATAAACGTTAATTGTGAATTATATAGTGAAAGTAACTAATCACATTGGGACACTGTTAAACAATTACATAGCACTCTGCATGTACATCTATTATGGGAATATGCCATACCTTACTAATTTGTAGCTATCAATGTGAGCACATCAACATTAGCACTCAAATCTTGCTTGCTTCAAGCTTCCACATACTCCTCAACAATTCTAGGTCCTTTCCTTTCAGAGTAACCATCCTGAAACATATATGGGAACACACAAGAGGTGGGGACATACGGATTATGAATCAGTCCAGGCAGCCACTTGCTGTCAGCCTAATACGTATTGCTCCAGGCTGCACTACCAATGCTCCTATCCCTAATTCCACGCTTGTTGCAGTGGAGATTCATTGCTGGGCATCAAGCTCCAGACTCCTATATTCCACTGCTTAATCAACATTTCCATTAATATCAAGTCAGCATCTCAAATTTACATGTTCAAAACCAAACACTTGGTTTTGCTCACTAAAAAATCAAAAAATTACTACATTTCAGTAAATGGCATAACCATTCTCCAAAACCTAGAAGTCATTCTTGATTCCTTTCTTTCCCATGCTGTGTATGAATACCTAAAATTCCATTACTTATTTACTCATCTACTTGTTTATTTCCTATCTCCTCCTCCTAAAATGTTAGTTCCACTAGGTAAGAAAATTCAGATGTTTTGTCCCCTAGTGTGTGTCCAGCACTTGCAAAAACTTAGGACTATGACTTACATAGAGGTAAGGCACTAGGCAAATATATGATAAATGAATTTGTGAAGAAATTAATTAGCTAATTCATTTCTGTTAACTGAGTCAGGATTCCACAACCACCAGCCTCAAAAATTTACAGAAATGCTGCTCCAAGATGACACATCTCTGGTCTAAGCAGAGATACCTCTCACTGGCCTTAGAATCAGACCATTTTTACCACCACAATTTATTGAAAACCAGCCACTCTCAAGATTTGCTGATGTCACAGCCAAGGTTGCTAGTATAATAGGGATTTCTCAGCAGGTGCTCCGAAACTGTTTTGCCCTTATTTTAACGGCATCATGTCCAGTGATCTATGATGGCATGAGCCAGTATTACTGCTGCCAATATGCAAGTACTTCTGCACTTGTGAAGTATGTTATGTTCATTTGTAAAAAGAAGTGTTCTACAGCAGAGTTATTTGGGTCCCAAATCATTACTGAGTCTAGTGAAACAGACCTTTCAATTGACACACAGCCCTTTTTATTCTCTCTGGACGTATACACAATCCTACCTGGGTTAGAACGGATACAAATAAAAACACTGAAAGGGGCCCATGTCTTTTCAGACCAATTCCTTCTACTCATAAAAACAATTCTCTTGCTGAAAGGCTATTGTGCCTTACCATAGTCTGGCTCCAGTTTATCAGAGTCCATCCTTCTTTCCTTCCTTCTCTCTTTTTCTCCTTCCTTAACAAATATTCACAGAACACCTATCCTGCTAAGTACTGAGGAAAGAAAGATGAATTAGTCTGTAATCCCAAGGTACAGACATATACTTGGAAAGATGAAAAAAAATTGCTTCATTTTATGACAAGTGTAAGTTCAAGCTACAATGGGTTACAAAGATAGGAGAGGTCAATTATTATTGAGTAATTAATAAAATCTTAATTCAGGAGGAGAATCAAATTGTGTCTGGCAATATGGTTAGGTTTTTTTCCTTCAGGGTGATGATGAGTATTGGAGGTGAAAGGAGAAAAGGGGATACAGGCAGTGGGAGCAAAAACACAGATAAGCAAAAACACAGAGGCATGGCCTAACTTGTGACATACCGTAATGTAAGTCAGCCTAAGTTGGACACCCAAAGATTTGTCTTTGTCTTCAATTAAAAATGTATTATGGTTCAGATATAAACAATTCATACAGGGGAGAAGGCATCCCTTTATTTCTCTTTTATAAATTTTTCTGATGGATACTAAGATTGGAGAAACAAAGATATTTTAATAGTAGTTATCTCTGTTTAATAGGATTTTGTAGCTAAGTTTTATTTTGTCCTTTACAGTTACAATTAGAAGAAGTTAGTATGATAGTGGTAGTGCCACTTGCTAGCAGTATGACACTGGGCAAATAACCTCTTTATATTTAATTTTTCACCTTTGTCTTATCTGGAAATTGATAGTGTTGAGCCAACTTTTTGAAGATCCTTTCCTGCTTTGAAATTCTGTGGCTGTAAGACTCGACAGGGGGTAGAATACTGAATGCAGAGGACCTGTATAATATTGAGACTAAAGTCCATATTTACACAGTATTATTTCTAGGAACACATTACAAAACCCAGTTTTACAAATGCCAATAAAATCTCAGAGGAGAAACTACAGCAACTAAAGGGAGTCATTTTGGAAGAATGGTATAGGAAAAAGAAAATTTTGCTAAGAAGCAGAAGGACTGGGTTACAATCTATGGTTTGCTAGTTTCTCGCTGTTCTGAGAAAATGCTTTCCCTCCCTGATTCCCAGTTGTCTCTCCTGGAATAAATGAGGCTGCTGGGAATTGAAGAGGTTAATGTATCATTATAATGATATATCATTGTAATGTATCATTATAATACCAGACAAACTTGATGCCACCTGGAAGATCAAAATCAGAACAGTAGGCAAAATAGACTTATCACTTTCTGGGGGATAGGAGGGCAAAATCTGTGTCTCCTGGACTGTAACACAACACGTACCAAAGGTGTCTCATTCCAAAGACAAGAGGAGCTTCTCAATATATAGACTTTCTAGGAGAACTTGGGAGTGGAGGGGTAAGAATGCTTAACTACTGATTCCCAGGCTACAAAATCCCAAGAGCCTTGCCCTGTGAGATCCGTATGTTTATTTGCAGAGGATTCATCTGGATATAGTCAGTCTTTAACCAATCAAACATTCCTCCCATATGGGAGCAGAGAGAGGTCCCATTCTCAACATTCCCAATTTCTTCTTCTCACAAAATAAACGTCTTCCTTGCTGCAAACCATGGTAGACCAACTGGTATGTTTAATCATGATCCATGATCTTGATTAGGAGTATGGCAATTACCATAGTTGAGTACTACACTGAGGTCTGAGTTAAGAGACACATTACAGGTGTTATTATATGATAATAAGAAAGCACATAACTTATTATAGAAAGAAAAATGTGGAGAATGGGAACTCTCAACCACAGCAAATGAATTGTGAACTGGTAATATCTAGTCAAGTTGAAGGAGTATATTCCCCAT